ATTCAGCAAGGGAGATGGAGTGTCAATGAGTTCGTAGCAATTTTCGGAACATTTTTGTGATTTTTGTGTATTTAGTTATGAATTTTCTAAGAAAAAGTCATAAAATAATAATTTAGGGTAAAAGGTAAGGATGTGGCCATGTGACTGACGCACACTTGTCAAGGGGTGAAAGGTGAGGGGCTGAGATCGCGCCAGGTGTCCAGTTGGCAATTATTTTGGCTTTTTTGTGCAAAAATCTTTGAAAAAATGCAATAAATAGTAGAAAAATCCTAAAAATGCCCCGAAAAATACTCCGGCCTCCGTGTGACGTTATAAAACAAGGGGAACCCATAGATCATCCATTTCGCAATTAAAAATTCAAAAATGATTTACATAAATCACTTTCCTCTTAACCCTAAGTATATATGTTTGTTCACTTTAAGTTCAATAACCTACTTCAACAAGCATCTCCCGTTAATGTTCGGAATTGTTTTTAAAATGCGTAACCACTAATCGGGGAATTCAGCAAGGGAGATGGAGTCTCAATGAGTTCGTAGCAATTTTCGGATCATTTTTGATTTTTGTGTATTTAGTTATGAATTTTCTAAGAAAAAGTCATAAAATAATAATTTAGGGTAAAAGGTAAGGATGTGGCCATGTTGACTGACGCACACTTGTCAAGGGGTGAAAGGTGAGGGGCTGAGATCGCGCCATGTGTCCAGTTGGCAATTATTTTGGCTTTTTTAGTGCAAAAATCTTTGAAAAAATTCAATAAATAGTAGAAAAATCCTAAAAATGCCCCGAAAAATACTCCGGCCTCCTTGTGACGTTATAAAACAAGGGGAACCCATAAATCATCCATTTCGCAATTAAAAATTCAAAATGATTTACATAACTCACTTTCCTCTTAACCCTAAGTATATATGTTTGTTAACTTTAACTTCAATAACCTACTTCAACAAGCATCTCCCGTTAATGTTCGGAATTGTTTTTTAAAATGCGTAACCACTAATCGGGGAATTCAGCAAGGGAGATGGAGTCTCAATGAGTTCGTAGCAATTTTCGGATCATTTTTCTGATTTTTGTGTATTTAGTTATGAATTTTCTAAGAAAAAGTCATAAAATAATAATTTAGGTTAAAAGGTAAGGATGTGGCCATGTTGACTGACGCACACTTGTCAAGGGGTGAAAGGTGAGGGGCTGAGATCGCGCCATGTGTCCATTTGGCAATTATTTTGGCTTTTTTAGTGCAAAAATCTTTGAAAAAATGCAATAAATAGTAGAAAAATCCTAAAAATGCCCCGACAAAATACTCCGGCCTCCTTATGACGTTATAAAACTATGGGAAACCATAAATCATCCATTTCGCAATTAAAAATTCAAAAATTGTTTACATAACTCACTTTCCTCTTAACCCTAAGTATATATGTTTGTCACTTTAACAAGTATATTTCCTTAATATTCGTTATATAATTTGTACTAATACAAGAATTAGTTTCCTTTCATATATAAGGATGTAAAATTATCTGTTTTGGTTATAATAATGTACATATATAATAAATGCACCACTACTTCGAAGCCATCATTGGAACTGCGCATGCGCCTAGAGCTTTGAAGACGTCAGAGATAGTCAATAAGTTGTCCATATGCACCTGCACCTAGAGTTTTCAACACGTCGGCGGTATTCAATAAGTTGTCCTTATGACGCCGCATTGGGAATCAGTAATATATTTTCTATCATGTCCAATCGCATAAACATATAATATAAAGAAATAAAGCAATAGTAGGAGATGAACCAGTACAAAAAACAATATATAACTGGTACAAAATAATGCCATAACCTTGTCACAAAACCACTCACACATGTTTTTTCATAAACCTTACCCTAACATATAATACATAAAGGCAACATTGCATATGATGCAACCATGTCCAAATCTGATACGTGATCACAAAAAATGGACATGGCAGCAACATATGACTGAAGTAGATGGGCACTTTGCATCGTGTTATCGTAATTAAAGACATCAAAATATAAGGTTGAAATCTTCTATAGTAGTAAGCATCAAAATAGGTTTGAAGCAGAGTTTAACGAAAATTCCAGTTCCTCTGATTTGCCTCTACTCAAACACGATAACCAAAATGGTTACTTCCCTTGTTGAGTATATTTGTTAACGTCGGAAACGGTAATAGATGACCAATCAAACCGGGGTACGACGAGTTTTGCATAGGACCGGAAGTAGTCGAATCCAGCTTGCATCACACGCTTCTTTGACTCCATTGCATTAGATGAGTTCTTGTATTTTGAACAGCTACACTCCGAAGTCGTTTGTGTCTACGCTTCATGCGCTGCAACTTCGCCCTATCCAGATTGGCCTGCCTTTTGTCATCTTCAATTTGGCCTTCAACAAATTCCAAACGTGCCCTTGCCCTTTGGATTTCATCACCAAGTTGAAGATGCCTCTCCTTCCAGAAAGCAAGAACTCTTTCAGACTCAAAACTGCCAACAAAATGGTCATTCTGTCTAGGAAAGTGACATTGCTTGTCTGGTGACTCACTTGCGTTTCGAAGGCGGTCTTTGTTTGGAGGGGTGTTTATTATGCTCACATCAAACTTGGTTAGTAAATCCATTCAATGGGGGGAGAGAGTTTCTGTGGAGGAGAGAGTTTCAGTAGATGGAGACAGATTCGGTGGAGGAGTGAGTTTTTGTGGAGGGAGAATTTTTATGAAGGGGGTGATTGTAATACCAATAAAAAAGGGTTCCCGCCAAAGAAAACATTTGGTTGACAATATATAAATGAAAAAAGGTCTCATACAATCAAAGTTTAATCCTAACTAGTTTGTTTAGTTTGGTTGGGTTCACTAACTAGATGTCACTTCCATTGAGTTTCTTTCAACCACTAACAATGGTGTAAGGAGAGTGTGAGGTTGACATGCTTGAAAAGCAAAACCTGACACCTCTTTTTTTAAATTGAAATAAAGTAGATATGTTGACTACACGCAAGCTTGGTATGTTGGTCTATAAAGCTATGTTCCATTTCTCAAACGAAATTGCATCTGCAATCCTCATCCTCTTCAGGCGCCAACAACACAATTGAAGATGAAAAATTGGAGTCGCAGGTTCCGTTTCCACGTTGTACTCGCCGACCCCTTCCATTTTCAACATCATTTGGGAGTGAGGGGGCACTCCGATGATCCATTAGAGGCAATAGATGCAGTCAGTACCAAGCTGGATTATAATTCTAGACTGATCAATTCATGGCACGAGAAATGTGTTGAAGACGAGGCCATTTTGGCTGATCTTAACATTAGAGTGAACAAAGCGTTCTCCCAAAAGAACAAGTACTTGAAGCTGAGTCATAAAAGGAAGCTGAAAGCTGAGGAGTTGGATGCAGTAATGAATGATGAAATTAAAGGTTGTTTGATGAACCATATGCAATGCGAAGAGCACCACAGTGAACTGGAGTTGGCATTCAACGAAGGATTCGAAAAATTCCGAGCATTCGCGACAACTACTCATACAAGTTATAATTGGGACTATGTGTCCCCTGATGCTGTGAGAGAGATACTAGACGATGGTGGTGATAGGAATGAGCATAAGCACGTCAAAGCTGCTCGGAAGAAGCCGACCGATACAACTAAGTGATTGCGGCTACAGTTGTTCTGTTGGTTGGGGGTGATCGTGGTATTGCACAAATTTGAACTATATTCCCTTAATGTCATTATCTAATATAAAATAATACAAATATCAGTTTCATTTGCTTCATATATAATTATTGGGACTATGTCTTGCAAGTCATCATGTGTTCCTTCTGTCTAACATTATATTTTGCAAATATGGAAATATTATTCAATAAGCAGTCAATATCACAGCACGTTGGGAATCAGTAAAGCCCCATTATCATGACACGTGAGTCATAAGTAAAATACCATGTGCTATACATTGTGTAGTGAATGGTTTATGGTTTATGTATATATAATAAAATTCCAAATATTGCTGAATATTTATTTTGTCTATATCACTGGGGACATGAGTGACCATAAGCACGTGAGACCTGCTAAGAAGAAGCTGACCAATACGACCCAGTGATTGTGGCTACCGTTGTTCAGTTGATTGGGGAGATCGTGGTATTGCTAAGAGGGAGCACATAAAATGCTTTGCAATCAAATTTTCTTTTGTGTGTGGAATTATGAGTAGTTCAAATGTTAGTGTACCCTTTAATATTACCCAACCATTCAAAATGTGATTAGCTGCAATGTACTTTTTACACGTTGCTTTCTAATCTTTCTGTTCCAACAAAGTGCTTCAAGTATCCTTCAGTTACGAATGTTTGCAAAATTGTGCACCTAATAACCAGTCCAGCTCAGATCTTAATCACCACTAAAACACTAGAACATAACATTCGCAAAAAGTGGGTGCTGCTACAAATGATGCGTGCTGCTGGAAATCATTACTGGTAATGGAAACAACAGCTGGCTGCTGGAAATGCTGCATTAGCCTGTCATATAATCAATGAATCTCTGTTAAAACATAATTCACCATAAACTACCCATTTTACAAGGTAAAAGTCATTGCTTCTTCACATAAATCAAAATTTGATGCTTTATCTAATGTCTATGAAAATTTCTAAATAGGGAGAAGACGTAAAATTAACATGTGTCCAAATTTCATGCAAGAATGAAACCAAGCAAATTTTCATTTCAATTATCAATGGACATAGTAAGAGCTCATCGGTGGACATGAACAAAAAAATAATAATAATAAAACTGCATCTAGAAAACTTCACCTGATCATTAGTCTTCATAATAACCGGGCTTCGTATAATAGAAACCTAAATCATTGAGTTGGTCCGTGCATCCTGTAAAATTCGTCGAATAATGGGTCACTAAGATCTATTGGAGTTGATTCGTCATTGTTCGATGGTGATGTCCTGCATAAACATCAAACAGAAGCACATAAGAACTTTACCTATTCAAATTTTAGGTCTTATTATAAATAGTGTTAACAACTTACGGTGTGTTCAAATTTCTTGGGCATGTCTTCTATCATGACCAATGTGTCCACACTCCCGACAGTGTCTAATCCCTCGCTTCATTGCCTTTTCCTTTACTCGTTTCGACCCTCCATTGCACCTTACTCTCTTAGGGTCTTTCATATATTGTGTTTGAGAGCTGGACCCTCCAACTTCGTTATTACTTTGTCCATCCTTCAACAACTTCAACTTCACCTGCAAACTTTTTAGAGTCTCTGACAGTAGCTCACATCCTTCTTCACACATTAATGCATCCTCAACCACATCTGAAGCAAGTCGGGACATTGTACTCCGCTTTATTAAAAGACCAGGATCTGCAGAGTCTTTAATTTCGTTGCCATTTGCATCTGACACCAATCCAAATTTCGCAGTTTTCTTCCACCTCTTCAAAATGTATTTATCGGGCATATATTCAATCTGGTCCCTTCTGAACAATGCTAGGATGTGCTTGCAAATAATTCCAACAAATTCAAATCTTTTGCAGCTACACGATGCGTGGTCAGAATCTTTGACATATACGACTTCTGCCACTCTTGTTTCCCAATTTTCCTTTCGCTCACATTAAAGACAACTTTAGAAGCATCCTCTGTTTTCAGCTCTAGGAAACATGTTGTACTTTGTATTAGTTCTTGCTCAAACTTTTGAAACATTGTCCTTGTGTACAAGGTAGCCATTTGTTTGTTCATTGGCATCGGTAGAATACATTGAGCCACTTCAAATGCATCTACGTGATCAGCAACTAACTCTTTTTGACGTTGATGAGAAAGTGCCCTCTCAAATCTTATTATGAAATCCATCAACGAATTTCTCCTTGATATGTATTGCTTGAAGAAACCATGAGAACATTCCACTCTTTGGCTGCTTGACATTCCAGCGGCAAAAAAGTGTCGTGCGTAGGCTGGAACCCAAGATTCCCTTAAATCAAACATTGAACTTAGCCATGGATGGTCAGTCAAACCAGCCTTTGTAACCACAATATTCCATTTTGCATCAAACTCATCCTTATTGTCAGTATCCCATATGGCTTTCTGGAATTCACCCCAATACTCCTTATAAGCAGAATGTGGTAACTTAACAGAGAACTTTGATGTGATGTGCCATATGCAAAGTCGATGAAATGTAGTCGGGAAGGCTATTGAAATCGCTCTGCTCATTGCCGCATCTTGATCTGTGATGATCGTTTTAGGTTCGCCACCTGGCATGGCTTTCTTAAACTCCTCAAACATCCAAATAAAACGACTTCACTTATTATTATGCTCGCAAAATGCTAAGGAGCAATTGGTTTGGACCATTGGTTATTAACTCCCAACATTGGTGCAAATGTCAAGTCGTATCTATTCGTGTTGAATGTGGTATCGAATACAACAACATCTCCATAAAACCCGTACGCCCGTCTAGAAGTTGCATCTGCCCAAAAACATCGACTAAACCTGTTATCGCCATCTCCCTCAATCTTGAAATAAAAAGCCTCATTTTTTTTCTGTTCAGCCATAAAATACTCGGTCACTAGTTCAACATCGTGGTTTCCTCAGCTTCCCATTCACACTACATTCAAGATTGTACATATCCTTTTTGATAAAACCGATTTTATCCATTCCTCCGGATTGCACCTCGAAAATACTTACCTTCTGATTAATGGGAATATTAACCGAACCCAACTGTTTTGTGAGTACTTTTGTAGAATTTGAAATACGACGGTGTGATCTCAGTAAATGCATTCTTCCTGAGGGTGTCATCTTATGATTGTGTCCCTCTGCAAAAAGAGAGATGGTATACTTCTTGCTCCCATGTGTCTTCACAACCACAATCTTAGCTTTTCAATTGCATCTACTTATTCCCCGCTGTCTTTTTCTCTCTCGAGTTTCATCATTCCGGTATGCACCTTGTTTGCAACATACAAATTCTTTTCTCAGAATCTCTTTCTTATTTTTCCCCCAAAAGCTGGAATGAAGTCGAATACCAAAGCCAGCCAAGAATGCATATCTATTATAGAAATTATAAACGAGGTCAAGCGAGTCGAACTTCATCCCAACTGCTGGTGTTTCCTCATTTCTTACTTCAGGAATGTAAACCCTCCCATTAGCTGTTACAGAGTCATCACTCTCTGAGCCCCCAGACATTTTATCCACGTATATTATTGATCTACTTCTATATTACTGCATAGCAAATGTTAATTCATTAATCAATCATTACTGCATCACAACTTATCAATGCATTCCACTTACACAAAACATTGCCCAAATTGACACAATACACGCATAGCCTAGCTTGTTGGATTCTGATTACACAAAACACAAGCAAAATTTAATAATAGTTACGTCATCTCTTGTGAAATAATCTGGAAAAAATAACATTAGAACCAACATGTTCAACTAAGAACTCAAATGTAATTCAAACCAGCAATTACAGAACTTTTCCCAATATTCTCTCCAAATGCTTACTTCTAATGCCATTAAGCCTAAGTTTAAGATCTTTTACCTACATTTCATAATTTTCCAACCCCCCTCCAAACAAAAATAATCAACTAAGTATATTGAATATTCATAAGGAAATGACACATTATTGATAGCAGAGCAAATGACGCATTATTGATAGCAGAGCAAATGACGCATTATTGATAGCAGAGCAAATGACGCATTATTGATGCCACAAACTCACCCTCACAAAAAACAAATCAAACCCAGCAAAATCAATCCAGCAAGAGTGAACTTACCTCTCAAAGTCAAATGACGCATTATTGATAGCAGAGCAAATGACGCATTATTGATGCCACAAATGACAAATTTCTCACCCTCACAAAAAACAAATCAAACCCTACAAAATCAATCCAGCAAGAGTGAACTTACCTCTCAAAGTCAATCGGGAGCTCCGAAGTCAGTCAGCTTCAAAGAATGTGGTGGACATTAGAGAGGATTCTTTCGTAGTGGAGACTTCATCTGGAATCTCTTCTGCTGAACGAAAAAGATAAGGGGTTTTCACTTCAATCATAGAATCAAAACAGGGCAATAGCTAGGTAAAAGCCATTAATCGTCATACCGAGGATACCATAGATCGCAGGCCTCCCAAGGAGCTGATGACAATGGAGCGATTATAGAGTTTGGGAGCTTTGGATCTTTCTAATTGTGGATTTGCATTACATTAAAAAAGAGAGGATTGTGTTCTTGAGTTTTTCACAGAGAGGGAAAAATCTTCAGCTGAAGTTGGGTTTCCAAACGGGTCAGATTTCAACCCGGTTCTACATGCACCCTCTTTTAAAAACTCACCGTTGGATGAAATCCAACAGCTCTTACATACCCCTCAAAAAGACCCCTTATAACTTTCCACTCACTATAGAAGCACTCACTAAACCCTACTCCAAGACAACAGAAGCCAAAGAGGTATTCTGGAGCATGAATGTCCACACACGTACACAAGGGTAGACCTACAAAGGGGCTTGACTGGGCTTTAGCCCAATGTTGGTTTTGTACTTTAGTCATAATTGTACAACAACATCCACTACAATTAAATATTAGCCCTCTTATCTTTTAGAATTCAGCCTATTCTAGCCACCCACATCAGATTTTTGTTTTTTTTTTTCTTCTACCCACTAAAATATATATAATCCTACCATATAATATTAATTAGCCCAAAATTCCTGGTTATAAAAGATCTCCCAAAAAAAATTTAGCCCACTCCTAGAAAAATTCTTGGGTCTACCACATACACACAAATAATCTAATGGAGGGCACAACCTAAATGGAACCTAAAAGTGAAAGTCTAAGAGACACAAAGGAGGCTCTAGGTTGCAAAAGCTCTCACAGATTTGTAAAAACATATATTTGCATGAAACCCTAGTTTCCTAAGCCCTAGGACATCCAAAAACATTCACAAAATCAAATAAGGAAGGTGTGGAAAATTCGTAACAAAAAAGACTTTAAAACTATCATCCAGTCGAAAGTCGAAACTGACAGGCCAACTCTGTGGACAATTATGTTCGAACAAAACAAGGAATACATATAACAAAGGCCGATCAACGAGCCTCCTAATGGTTGATGAATTGGTCATTGCAATTTAGTTAGAAATTTCACTTTTCAATATTTTGCAGAAATTTTGGTTTGACAACATGTTTTCAAAAGCAAACAACCTGAAAAACTTATTCTAAAATATACAGACAAGAACCTATCAGCCTAAAATGCGTGAATATAAGGCATCTAAGTCCAATTCTAAATGCGAGATTTAGAATTTGATACCATGGATCTTAACGAGCATGCATCACAACTTCTGGTGTTTAATATTCTAAAGATACCATCTTCACTTGTGGTATGTTAAAAATTCAGCCTAATTCTTAACACCAAAAGTCTTGCTAATTTACCCAAGACTTTATCAATGAATTCGATCATGCTGTAGCTTCGGCCATTGCGAGGGTGTGCCACCATGTTTGGGTCTCTAGACCCCCTCCCTCTTTGGTCGATCGGTGTACTATCAAGAGATGGCCTACTTACACCGCCAATTTGATTTTGGTTTTGGCTTCCATTATATGTCCTGGGAATTGTTATGATGATGAGCCGTTTCTTGCTTCTTCTTTTTCTTTTCAATGCTTTACAATTGCTACGTACTAAAAGAGCTATAGTACTGCATTTGGTTTCTTCCATAAATTTTTTTTTGCCTCCATTTGCAATTTTTAAGGCCCATCTGTAGAACAGATGATTTTGTTACAAAACCCACATTCTCCAACAGCAATTTAGCTCTTAACATCACAGGGTTTTGCAAAAAGCGTCAACTATTAAGTGTCAACTAAGGCCTATTTTCTTGTAGTGCATGTTCTCCCTCTTTATGCCATGCTGCATTCGAAAAATCAGCTTCGTGTTGTTGAAGAAGTCAGGGAAGGAGAACGGCTCGTTGTTGTGGCCACCAATGTGGCTGAAACATCTTTAACTATACCTGGGATAAAGTACGTTTTTGATACTTGTTACCCTCTTTTCGGCCGGGGCGGCCGATGGAAGGAACTTTTGGTCCTTCTTCTTTTGGATGCGGGGCGTGCCACCACCAAGCCCCGAAATTGGGCTTGAGTGGAATGAGAATAGATGGATGTGTTGCGCTTCTAACTTCTGACCAAACGATTGATCGGCCAAGCAAGGAACCTCTTCTTGGCCTAGATTCTTTCACTTTCTCGGGCTCGAGAATGGTTAGGTTTCGTATGGATGTTTTTTGTGGTTTTTATGGTTTAAGTAAAAATAATGCAATTAAACTAAATATGCATATAAACGTAAAGACAAGAATTGAAAGGCGATAAAATAAATCAAAGCGATAGATAAAGCAAGAATAAAATAAAAGCGATAAGAACGATAAGAACGAAAAAGAAATAAACTTGAAGTTAAATTTAATCGAAGTGCGATAACAATTAAATGTAAAGGAATCAAAATAAACTTGAATTGAAATGACAAGAAATATAAATTGAACGAGAATTTAAATGACAAGGAAATATAAACTTACACTAGAAATATGAAGAACTCACTACACTAGGTGCTTGAAAAATAAAATCCTAAGTCTAGGAAAAGAAAAGTGCGAGACGAAAGATAGGTTTGTTTGTCTGATGTTGTGTCTGATGTCTTCATGGAGCAAGGTTTATATAGGGCACTCGTCAGCCCATGGGCTGGCCATTGAATGGCCAAATGTCAACTCTTCTTAAAAATCATTCCTTTCGAAGCCCTCCTAAATTCGTGAGATTGTATTGAAGGAGATATTCTGACATGCTTGATTCTTCCTTGTTTTGGATCATTCGGAGTCATTCCTTGATTTCTTTCCTTGTGAGGCCCTCCGTCATGTGCACATAATCTTCCGAAAATCTTGGGCTTGAAATTGGTGGCTTGAGCTAAAACCTTTAATCTCTTGGCATAATTTGAGGGTGCCCTTCGTGATCTTTAGATTTCTGAAGCTCTAGAATTAGTCTGCTGAGGAACTTGATTCAATTCTTATTTTCATATATATATATATATATATAAATATTATACGAATCAACAATCCAAACTACTGGCCCAGCCACTATGCATAGAAATATGCATGCTAGAATTCATGCTTGGCGACTTCAATACTCAAAGGGCCCATATGTGTAATATATATATTTATATATATATATAATTTAAACTCTCAAACCCTACAGACTGAAGGCAATAATTCTAACATTTAAACCAAACACAAGTCGGCCACCACTCCCTCAAACTTTCGGCTGCATGTGTGATATTCACTCACATATATATATATATTATATATTATAAGGCAAGGAAGTTACAATTTGCAGAGCCCAGTCACATTTGTGCGCCCAAAAATTCCCATAGCTCCAGTCGCACAGGAAATCCTAAGGCCCAACCTGCCATATCTTGGTTTTCCTTGCGGTCGCATCTTGGCTTCCCATGTTTCGGCCGCAATCCAGCCTCACTTTGACATAGAGCCCGGCCGATATTTCCAACAGCTCCAACATTCTCGGCCGCCACGAGGTTCCTTGGAGACCCGGCCGAGATTTCCCAATTTCTCCAGCACCTCCTACCGCACCATCTCAACAGCCCGGCCGCATATTTGCAAACTCTTCCGCCCGATTTCTAAAGAGCCCAGATACTCCAGCCCTAACTTTGGAGACCGACAAAGGCCCCAGCCACAAAGAGCTTCCAGTCCAAAAAACCGGGCAACAATTCACTCATCCACAATCCTCGGCCGCACCTCCTTTGAGGACCTCCGGCCGCGAATTTCTCCAATCCCGGTTGAGATTTTCAACTCCACTCGAACTGCCCAACTTGCTAGGAAAACAACTACAGCCGCCACCATCATTCGACACAGTCGGCCGCTCCAATCTAGCAAGCCCTCGAAGCCCCAATCTAACGAGCCCCGGACGCATTTTCGAAAGCCCAGGGACTCCGAAACCCAGCTGCCCCGTTTCACCCGTGCCCAGCTAATTCTCGCGCCCGGCCAATTCTCGTGCCCGGGTTAGGTGGGTTTCTATCACCCCCAAACATTGCCCCCTCGACTTGCTTAGCTCGAAATTGGTGCAGAGGTAAGCAAATCGAAACCCAAGACCTTTCAATTTCTGAAATTTGAGATTTTTCTTTTTGCTTGCCTTGCACGTTATTAAATTTTGAATCGGGTAGGAATTTAGGAAGACACCAATTAAATTGGCGGGACCTTCGAACTTTCTATCCGTTAAAAACCCTAGATATTACAAATATTCAAGAGGTCCCTTTCATTCTCACATAAGCACTTCCACCATAGCTATAGGCTTTTAGAAGGTTTTCTCAAAACCCATATCCTCTCCATCTTCACATTTATCATTTCACACACCAAATCCACCCGAACCAACGTCAAACTTGAAATTTGCAAGTTTCTAGGTACGTTTCACTAACTCTTGGTTGATTTTGGTATGATTTTGATGCATCTATAGCCTTCAAAAGTTTAGACTTGAAACTTTGAATATGTGAATAGTGCTATGATGTTCTTCGTGTTCTTCATTCGAATCTTGTTTGCTTTACTATATTTTTCTTTGATTCGATTTTACACCATGTTTGTAGGATGGAATCTATTCCAAGTGATAGTGGCCAATTTTTTGAAGATATGAAGGTGGCCATGGAAAAAGACTTGGGCAAGCAAGTATTTGCCTATTTTCTCAATGCCTTTCCCAACTCCGCCCAATATATTCTTGGCCCATTTTTCTCCGCCTATCCGGAGGAGGTGGCCAAAGTGTGGGTGACGCAACCAAGAAGTGGCCCAACCTATTTTTCAGACTTCACATGGGCATCCGTTTGGGAGAGCGCCAAGCCATTTAAAGGTTGGCCGACGGGAACCCCCCTCAAATCGGATCCCACCGCAACAAAGGAGGCCCCATCAAAGAAAGCATCATCCGCCGCCGGGAAGGCCGATCACTCAAGCTCGGCGGATGGCAAGTTTGATTGGTATCATTGGTTCAAGGCATTGGAACCAAAATTGAAGGGCCATTGGAAGAAAATTGGGATTTATGATACATTGCTCCTATGTGCGGGGAGTCCATTTCCTGCGACCGATCTCTCATCATTGCGGCCCTATGCTTTTGGTCTTCCTCCACCAATTGCATGAGGCTCCGCTTTGGGATGATGACGCCCAACTTGCTAGACTTGGCCGCTATTGCCGGCCTCCGCCCTCATGGAGAGGATTTCTCGGCCGCCAACCTTCCGGATGGCAAAGTGGGCTTAGATTTTCACAAGTCAAACAAGAATTCCGGGAGCTGGGTGAAGACATATCTTGGCCATGGCGGAGATCCCACCGACCCTCCTTCCATCAATGGCGTATCCTACACTGAGCACGTGGCTTTCCTTGTGATGTGGTTGTGCAAGTTCTTGGCATGCCCAAAATCCGGCGGGATCACAAAGGAATTTCAAGCCTTGGCGGAGGTGCTTGCGGATGGCCATCAAGTGGCCATGGGCCCAATCTTTCTTGCCTATCTTTATAGAGGGCTCCGTGAGGTAACCACTAAACCCATGGATTATCATGCTTCTGGCCCCATATGGATTTTTCAATTATGGCTCCAGTTATATTTTCCGGAGTTAAGTCCCACCACCGTTTGCCCAAACGATGAAGCACTTTTGGGTCCGCCTTTGCTCAACGCCCCACGGCGGAAGCATTTTGTGGAGGATTGCTTCCGCTTTTTCTATGAGTGCCAGGAGAGGACTAGGGAGCATCTCTCCATTTGCCTTGATCACCGTTTCCCGGATTATCTAGCCCTGGATCTTTCCTCATATCCCACGGCGGAGACGAAAGATGAGAGACATAATATGTGGGCGAGCATCCTTATCAGCCGAGATCTTCCATATGGCCTAATGGTGAACAAGGGAAGCAATTATCATTGTGGTGGTGAGCTTTATTATCCCGCCGCCGCCGGCTACCAGCTTGGTTTTATACAGAGCATCCCTATACCACCCATGGATTCCGTCAACCTGCTCTCCTCTTGGCGGGTGGAATTTAAAGATGCGAAAGAGGTCGCCACCTTGACGGATTTCAACCAAGACTTGGTGAAATCCTTCAGTATTCCGATTAGAGATCCTCGGTTTGGTGACTCTAACATCTTTATCCATTGGTGGAAAGAAATGTCGGCCGGTTGGTTTTCTCAACCATGCTCAGAGATTGAGGATAGGATCTTTAAGCATTGCCCATGCTCATTGGCCTTTCAACAAGAGAAAGAGAAGAAGAAGGCCCAAGCAAAAGGTAAAATGTTTGCACTTTCTTCCTATTTTAATTCTTTGGCTATCTTTCTTTTTCCTAACCCTTCAAATCTCATAGTTGACACCGCCGAGAAGGAAAATCCTCCCGCCAAGGTTATTGAGAGAGAGAGCTTGGCCAAATCCGCCAATACAAATTCTGGGCGGGGCGAGAAAAGGCCCACCGCCCCCATCCAAGGTAAGCCATCCTCCATGATTATTTTTGCCCTTTTTAAATATTTGCACTTCTAGCCTTCTGAATTCTTGATGGGCACATTTAAAAGCTTAAAACTCCAACTTTTTTAGGAGATAGCCCCGCCGGAAATATTTTGCCTTCTCAAACATTCCTTCGGCCCAGAAAAGTTCGGCGGAACCTTTTTTGGCCGTGCACTTTTTAATAGATAAGCTTGTTGCAGGTTCCCCAAGGCCGGCGGATCCTCCTTCCTCTTCTCATTCGGTCGGGGCCGTGCAATCGGCCACCACTTCATCCGCCGCTCCGGTAAGCCTATATCTCTACATTCTTTCATTCATTTAATTTTGAAGGGCAAAAACTCACCCTTATGCCCAAAAATGTAGGAAACTCAACCTCCTACACTTGAGAAGGGAGTTGGGGCGCAAGTCATGACTTCGGTGGGCGAGGATGAGGTAAATCCATCTCCTTAGCCGTTTGAGTTTTCTTTTCCTTCTTTTGTGCTCACTACATTTTCGAACTTAGTCGGCCGAGATCACTACCACGGAGCACCTGGAGGATGTTTCCATGGGGTCACACGAGATTACTCCTATGCCCGATGATGACGCTCATGAGGACGTGGCCGAGCTGACCGAGGAAGACTTTCCACATGTTCCGAATTCTCAGGTTCATTGAAATTTCATACTTTTAAAATTTCTTATACACTTGCCCCCAATTTCTTATTTTCAATGTTTGCACATGTTAGCGGGCCATTTTTGGCCCCAACCTTTCTTCGGCCGATGCCATGGCCACTGAGGCCGAATTTCAGCCCCTCTTTGCCACAAGTTCGGGCTCTACCTTGACCCGCCTTCTCGAGGCGCCCCAAAGTAGCCCAACTTTTCAGGTGATCTTACTCTCCCTTAAATGTTTTTTTCAAAACTTTATGTTTGTTAGAGAGCTCACACCCTCCTTTTTTAGGCGGATGTGGTGGAGTCTACCGCCATTACGGTCGACCATGCGATCGTTGCCAATGGTGTGCCTCCCACTATTCCCACCGACGAAAGTGCACCACCTGAGCCCATCCTTATGTCGACTTTGGGGGCTCCTACCTTGGTTGTCGATGCTATTCCGTCTGAACTCCAACTTGAGGTATGCCCCGAATTTTCTTGTTTATTTCAAATAAATAGGCCATTATTGTAATCCTTATATCGTTTTGCTAGATTGGTGAGTCTTCATCCTTTGTGCCCACCGAGATTACCATGGATCCATCGGCGGAGGATGGAGGAAACTTGGCCACGGTCCCCCATGAAGAGGCCCCTCAACCTTCCCCTGATCAGGTATGAAACAAGAAATACATACATATGCACATATGCAATTTATTTCCCTTTCTTGAAATATAATGCCCATTTTTCTTGCAGCCATCTGGTGACATTTTTGACTTCCTAGATCAGTGGGATGCATCTATATCTTCCGCGGAGGCTTCCACTCGCCTTGCCACTTCTTCTACATCGACCGGGGCCCTACCAGATTCCGGGGCTGAGGCCATACTTCGGTCATACAGAGATGGAGACTTCATGTCCTTGGAGGACAAAGATGAGAGAAGCAAGCTCAAGGCCGCCATTGAGACTTTGGCGAGTTCTGGCTTTTTCCCTGATCCACGCTCGGCGGCTATGATTACTCATCTCTTTGGTCAGGTGGAGAGATTTGCCCCCCGCCGCCGTCCTTTTCTGGAGGAGCAAAGGATAGGCCAAGACTTGGAGCAGCGGATTACCTCATGTAGTGCCACCATGAGGAGGGAGATCGAGATCGCCCGCCAAATGCAGCAGGAGGCTGCGGATATCGATGAGCAGGTGAGGCAGCTCCAAGAAAGGAAGGCTGGCATTGTTGCCAAAGTCTCCGAGATTGTCCGGAGCAATAGGCCTCTCGAGGCTCAACTTCGACAGGATGCAGCAGCGGCGGGAGCATATCGAGAGAGGAAGTTGATGATTCAGTCTACCTTGTCCGCCGGAGATACCGCGATGGAGAGCTTTAGGGCTGCCCTCCGCACCCTTTTCCCCGATGCTTAGGTTCATACTTGGCCATTGGTTGGCCCATTTTGTACTTAGCTAGTTTCCTTTTCTTTGGTCACCATATGTGGTAGAACTAGCTTAGTTATTATTTCTTGAACCTTTGGTGGATATCTAGGCCATTATTTGGCCCCATTTTGTTGTAGACTTTTGCCCACCTATATATATATGTGATATCTTTTCTTCATGGCAGATTATCTCTCCGCCATTTCCCAAACCGTTGGGTAATATTTTTTCAAAAATCGACCATTGATCGGCGCATCATGGACCCGACCATTTTGGTCACTTAACTTGTACGCCCCCTTTCCTAACACTTGGTGGACGAGAAATGGGCCTTCCCAAGTTGGAGACCACTTGCCAAATTTTGGATCCTTTGATCCCACCGGAAGAATGGTCTTCCATACTAAATCTCCAACCCCAAAACTCTTGGCCTTAGTCTTCTTATCGTATGCTCGAGCCACGGCCTCTTTTTGGGCCTTCAATCTATCTAAAGCACCCAATCTGACCTCGTCAAGGTCATCTAACTCTTGTGCCATGGCTTGCCCGTATTCGTCCTCACTCCATTCGGCATGGCGAACCACCCTTAAGGACTTAACCGAAATCTCAAGTGGCAAGACGGCGTCATGGCCATAGGTGAGGGCGAATGGCGTTGTTTGCGTGGCAGACCTTTTCGAGGTTCTATACGCCCATAGAGAGTTGGAAAGAAGAGAGTGCCATTCCTTGGGATTTTTATCAATCATTTTTTCCAAAATCCCTTTTATCACCTTATTACTAGCCTCCGCTTGGCCATTTGATTGGGGATTGTATGGGGTGGATTGAACCATCCTAATTCCCCAATTTCTTGCGGCGGCTTGAACAGCCTCGCCCATGAACGCCGTTCCTCGGTCAGTCATGATGGACTCGGGCAAGCCAAATCGATGGATGATATTCTTCTCAATGAATTCTATCACCTCGACTTGAGTAACTTGTTTGAGTGGGACGGCCTCCACCCACTTTGTGAAAAAATCGGTGGCCACTAATATATACTTATGGCCTTTAGATGACTTTGGGTATATTTGGCCAATCACATCCATTGCCCAACCTTTGAAAGGCCAAGCCTTGACAATGGGATTCATTGGTCCGGCCGGGACATGTTGGATCGGCCCATGCCTTTGACAATCTTTGCAACCCTTGGCATACTCAATGCAATCTTTGAGGATAGTCGGCCAATAATAACCGTGCCTTCTTAAAAGCCACCTCATCTTGATGCCAGCTTGATGAGCACCGCATATCCCCTCGTGGACCTCGGTCATTGCTACGAGTTGTTCTTTTTTGCCCAAACATTTCATGAGCAAGTCATCGGAACCTATGCGGAACAATACTTCATCCCTTACCACATAATATTGGGCCCTCCGCCGAATTTGTTGGCTATATGACCCATTTGGATTTTTCAAATATTGCACAATGTCGTGCCTCCAATCCTCCGGTGCTATGGTTAACACCATAACTTCTGCTGGAACCCCTCTTTCAAAGACGGAGGAGAGAGACCTCTTCTCAACTTTAAAAAGCTCCTCAGAGAGCCCTTCGGAGATCTCCACACCGGATGCTAATTGGGCCATGGCGTTGGCCTGAGTGTTATGTTCTCTCGGTAAGTGGGCGAGTCTCACATCATCGAAATCTTCCATTAATTGGCTGGCCAACGCATGATATCCAAGCAAAGCTTGGCTAGTCACCTTGTACTCGCCAGACAATTGTTTTAAGACTAGCATTGAGTCTCCCATGACCGCCACACTTTTTACCCCAAGCTCTTTCAAAATTTCCAACCCTATGATTAGGGCCTCATATTCGGCCTGATTGTTGGTACAATCAAAGTCCAATTGAAAAGAGTAACGAGTTCGGAATCCTTTGGGCGTTTCAATGATGACACCTGCCCCGCCCATGTTAAATGTTCGAGACCCGTCAAAATAAAGGCGCCATGGAAATAAACTCAATGTGCCCACCTCGAGGAAATCCATCTCCTCTATTTCAACACAAGGGTGGGCCGCCAAGAAATCGGCCAAAGCTTGCCCCTTAACGGCCTGCTGGGGTACATATCGGAAAGTGAATTCCGCCAATGCCATTGTCCATTTTCCTATTCGCCCTCTAATGATTGGGCGGGTGAGCATATATTTTATCAAATCAGTCTTGGCGATTATATGCACCACGGAGGGCAACATGTAATGCCTTAACTTGGTCGCAGTAAAATACAAGGCCAAGCAAAGTTTCTCCACCGGAGAATATTTCCTCTCGGTGGCCGTTAGAATTCGGCTGAGGTAGTATACCGCTTGTTCTTTCTTCTCATCATTGTCTTGGGCTAGTAGACTTCCGATTGAGTTTTCCGCGGCCGATATATATAGTTTCAAAGGTCGGCCCCGCTTTGGTGGAATGAGCACCGGAGGCTTGGCCAAATATTCTTTAATGGCGTCAAATGCCCTTTGGTGAGTCTCTTCCCACCGAAATTTCTCTTCATCTTTGAGCTTTAGCAAAGATGAGAAAGGCTCAACTTTCCCCGCGGAGTTGGCTATAAACCTTCGAAGGAAGTTAATTTGGCCTAATAAACTTTGCACACCTTTCTTGTTTTTTGGAGGGGGTGCGTTAATGATGGCCTTCGCCTTATTTTTATCAATCTCAATCCCCCTTTGGTGCACCAAGAATCCTAAGAAATTCCCGGCGGATACTCCAAAAGCACACTTTTTTGGGTTCATTTTCAATTGATGCCGCCGCATTCTTTCAAAAGCCGACCGGAGGTCATCCAAGTGGCCTGGTCTAGACTCCGATTTTATAACAACATCATCGATGTAAACTTCTAAATTTCGACCGATCATGTCATGGAAAATAGAGTTCATTGCCCGCTGATATGTGGCCCCGGCATTTTTTAGGCCGAAAGGCATCACCACATACTCAAAAGTTCCAATGGATCCGGGGCACCTGAAGGCTGTCTTGTGGACATCCTCCTCGGCTATAAAAATTTGGTTATAGCCAGAGTGCCCATCCATAAATGATAAAATTTCATGCTTGGCCGCCCCATCGACTAAGAGGTCGGCCATGGGCATGGGATATTCATCTTTGGGAGTTGCAAGATTAAGATTGCGGAAATCAACACATATTCTTATTGCTCCCGTTTTTTTCTTTACAGGTACAATATTTGAAAGCCATTCTACATATCTAGCTGGCCTAATAAATTTGGCTTTTACAAGCCTTACAATTTCCTCCTTAACCTGTAATTCTACTTCCGCCGACATCCGGCGGGGCGGCTGCTTGAAGGGCTTGAAATCTTCCACCGTTGGTAGGCGGTGCTCGACCAAGTCACGACTCAATCCGGGCATCTCGGTGTAATCCCAAGCGAAGCAATCCTTGAATTCTCTCAAAAGCTCTTCCATCTTGGCCCGAAGTTCTGGCTCCATTAGACCACTGATGTAGATTGGTCGATGGTTGTCTTTCGTCCCCAAGTTGATTTCTAACAAAGGGTCTTGGACTTCCGCCTTCGAATCATCCATCTCGCTTGGTGCCAACTCTACCTCTTCGAGCTCAAGTGCATCATCCTCCGGGCCTTCATGAAGAAATTCCACCAAATTGGCGGTGGACCCATGCTCAGCCGCTCTTTCGGCCCAAAAACCATATAGCCGTCTCAAAGTGTCCTCCACCGCGGCCCTCTTCTCTCCCTCTATGTTTGTATCATTCATTGAGGGAGAAAAAATCAGCTATAGTGGGACGCTCCCCATCCGCTTGGGCATCATGTGCCCCCAAGTCTATCAACTTTTGGGCCGAGACTCCCGTAGGTCGGCCGTTCTTATCTGACCCCGTAAAATAAAGGGGCCCGATGTCATCTTCATAAAACTTTGCCTCTACCGCATTGGCGGAAGCCATAAAGGGCCGTACATCGGCCTGAACAATCTCTACACTTCCATCCTCGTGCCAAAATTGTAAGAATTGATGAAGTGAAGAGGGCACACACATGCTTCCATGGATCCAATCTCGGCCCAACAAAGCATTGAAATGGGCCGTTGTCTCCACCACAAAGAAGGCAGTCATTCTAACTTTTTGCCCCACTCTAACTTGGAGTGGGAGAATTCCCTTTGAAAGTCGTGGTGTCTCCCACGAACCCGCTGACCGTTGTCTCGGTCGGGATTAACTCATCTGAGCCTTTCTTCAATTTCCTCATGATTGAGGCTGGTAGGATGTTGACCGTAGCCCCCATATCCACAAGGACTTTACTCACCGGAACTCCATCGAAATGAGCTCCCACATACAAGGGCTTAAGGTGGGAGGACATTTTCTTGGTGGGCATGTCATAGCACACCTTCTCGGGCACTTTTTCCTCCTTTTCGGGCACCATGATGCAAGGTTGGGCATTCCCTTCCTTCGGAGTTTCTAGGGCCATCTCAATTTCTTTGGCCCCTTCCATTTGGACCATGGACTCAACCTCATCGAACACATCCCCGTCCATAAAATTAGGTTGATCCGGCCGAGCTTCGAAAAATAGTGGAAGTGTAACAACCATGGCATTTACCTCGTCAAAGTCTCCAAACTTTACTTTGACCTTGCCCACTTTTAGCTCATTCTCAAACTTGGCCATCTCTTCATTCCGTTCTTTCTCTAAGTGTTCCATAGCTTCCTCCGACAGATCCTCTAAGTATTCATCGTCCGCATACTCCTCATCTTCCCCATATATCTCTTCGTCTTCGGCCGTCGAACCTTCGGGATTTTCCAATGGCTCCTTAGCTTCTTCCTCGGCCGTGTGCTCGGCCTTTCTTCTACCACATTAGTTTCAACATCGACCATAACTTGGTCTTCTTCCGCCCTAGGCTCGCTTACTATTTTATGGGGCACATCCCCAGCTTCTTGGACCATGTTTTGGTCCTTTTCCTCTTTGCTCTCAACCTTGGTGGGCTGAGCCAATTTGGTCATGGCCAGGGCCTTGGCGATCGGAGGCTTGGCTTTTGGTGGAGCCGCCCTTGCCTTTTGAACCTTGAGAGGTTTATCTCCTCTCCTCTTGGTCGGTTCACTAACTTCCACTTTAGAGTTATTTGCCTCAAAAGCCCCAGTCAAATGGGCCTCTAATTCCGAGATTGGCTCTTCCGGGGCCGTTACCACAACTCGGCCATTCACCCATTCTCGACGTATTTTCATCTCCTCGGCCGCGGCGGCCTCTAAAGAAGCGACGGCATCGGCCTTGGCCAATTCCAACTCCTCCAATCGAAGTTTCTCTCGAAGCTCGACCAATCGATCAAGTTGAGCTTGCCTTTTATCCGCCCAATCTAACTCCGCCTTGCAAGTGGTGGCATATTGTCTTTGAGCCCTTCTCGTTTGAGTTTTGCTCAGAGGCACCGGTGGAAGTTTTGGGCCTCTACTTCTATACCATTGGCCCGCCTTTGTGTTTGGCACCTTGAAAGTTGGGACACCATTACCGTCCGCGGGGCGGGGTCTTGATACATATGCCACATCTCGGCTTTTGCCTTCTTCCACCGAAATCCACATGCTTCGATTTTGGCTTGAATCGGGCGAATCAATGTCTTCATATCTTAGAGGGGCATGTTGATTTCTCCTCTTCGGCTGATACCTCGGCCTCTCGTACCTATCTTGGTACTCATGCAATGGCCGTTTGTTCGGCCTCCCTTCCATTTCGCCCCTTGGGCTATGTGGGCCGTAATTCTCGGCCGGACTTGTTATCATCTTCTTTTCAAAACTCCTAGATCTGCCCACTTGGACTTGATCCTTGGTTGGCTCTTTGGGCTTTGGCGAAACCACTTCGAGAGTCACCTCACATTGGCATCGACTACATAGCACAATGGCCTTTGGAGGTTCTTCCTTGGTCGAACCTTTTGTCTCGGGAACTTTGGCCATCTCAGGGTACATTTTAGCCTTGCCCTTCGCCTTAGGATCCGCCGGAATTTCCCTTGCCCTTCTTTCTGCCGCAGCCCTTGCTGAGCCACCCAAGTCCAACCTAGGCCTAGGTTGGTCTGGCCTTGGGAAGTTAGCATTCACCATGTTGACTTGAGCATTTGGGAAAGGATCCTTGTCGACGCCCATTGTAGTTTTCTCCGGAAACTTCAAGATCTTTCCGATCGATGAGATCCTGCACGGCATTCCGAAAAACCAAGCAATTGTTAGTCGTATGAGACCATACATTGTGAAACTTGCAATAAGTTTTATTTCTAAGTTCATTAGCCGACGGAATATCATGATCATTAGATAATTTTATGATCTTTTCTTTCAAAAGTTGGTCGAAAATTTGTTCGGCTTTAGAAATATCAAATGTGTAGGACTTAGTCACGACCGCCTTTTGGGAGGTTCCACTAAACTTGGACATTTGGGCCGTGGTCGGCCTTTGATCCTTAGAGGCTTTAGACAAAGCCTTGCACACATATGGCCCTTTGGCCACAATCTCGGCCAAGTTTACCTCAGCCGACTCTTCTTCCTCTAAGTAAACTTCATCACCTCTTTCTTCTGAGTCTATATCTCCAATGTCTATTGCGTGGACCGCCGTAGTCCTAGACCCGGAAGGTTTGGTTGAATCCCTATAAAATGTCGGCCGGGGTGCCGGCCGCCCTTTTTGTTGCTCCTCCTTTAGAAGGGCTTCGTATCGATCCACCCGAAGTAAGAGATCATAAATGTCGCGGAACTCAATTCCTTCGAATTTCTTTCGGAGATCAAGCAACAATCCTCCTTGGGCCAATTTTGCAAACTCGTGCTCTGGCATATTGACCGTACACCTAGCCCTTGCTTCTCTAAACCGCCCCAAATATTCTTGGACCGACTCACTTGGCTTCTGGCTTATCTTTGCCAAGTCGGCCATTGAGACTTCCGGCTCCGGTCGATAGAATTGCTCGTGGAAGACTTGCTCCATAACTTGCCAATTAGGGACGGAATTTTGTGGAAGCTTAACATACCATGAAAAAGCTGCCCCCGTAAGGGTACTCGGAAATAGCCTTAGTTTCAAGGCCTCGCGATGCCCAATCTCCGCGCATTGGGCCGTGAATCGGCCAATGTGTTCAACGGTCGATTGGAGCCCATCTCCCGAAAATAGTGCAAAATCCGGAACCTTGAAACCCCTTGGAAACTCCTCTTGATCAAAGTGCTCCGGATATGGTCGCCGATAAACCGGCCTACCAATCCTCCTAGCATGGGGCACCATATCTTGAATCATTTGTTCGACCGCACCTCGGTCGATTGCTTGATTCCCTAGCAATGGGTTGTTAGCATTCCCGCCGGGGTTATTCCAACCACCGACTCCGAATTGGTTGATATGAGGCCCAGCGAAATTGGCCCCAGCCGCTTGGTGAGCTTGTGGGCGGAATTGATTATATGGCGGGAACACTTGAAATTGGTTGACCGCCGCATATGGGTTGTTGCCCATCGGCGGAATATTAACCACTGGGGCTTGGTTGGCCCCAGCTGGTGGATTAAGTTGGGGCGGATTCACTCCAAAACCATTTGGTTGGGCCTCCACTTGTGGCCCAACCGCTGGTGCTCCAATTGGCGCCCCTTGGTTTCCATTTTGGCCATTTTGTTGGCCTAACCATCGATCAAATCTCTCGTTGATCTGAGCATTTTGAGTGGCCATTGTTTGGGCCATTGTCTCCATGACTCGCATGAGTTGTTGGAGTTCCAATGAAGTGGCCGGATTCGGCCTCAATACTGGTCCCCCCGGCGACTTCCGTAATGTCTTCGACTACCACTTGATCATGGCCGACGGCCGTGTTTCGGCCGGGGCCATTTTGCTCTTGTTGAGTGGCCGGAACATTTTGTGGCTGAGTATTTGTAGGGAATGAACCAGCCATGCTTGTCTCTGATTCCGACCGAAGTCTAGATTCTTCAAATTCTTGATCTCTTCTAGGATTCCTCCTAGTGTTTACGACCATACAAAACCTAGTGGTCCCACTGGGCGTGCCAAATTATGTTACCCTCTTTTCGGCCGGGGCGGCCGATGGAAGGAACTTTTGGTCCTTCTTCTTTTGGATGCGGGGCGTGCCACCACCAAGCCCCGAAATTGGGCTTGAGTGGAATGAGAATAGATGGATGTGTTGCGCTTCTAACTTCTGACCAAACGATTGATCGGCCAAGCAAGGAACCTCTTCTTGGCCTAGATTCTTTCACTTTCTCGGGCTCGAGAATGGTTAGGTTTCGTATGGATGTTTTTTGTGGTTTTTATGGTTTAAGTAAAAATAATGCAATTAAACTAAATATGCATATAAACGTAAAGACAAGAATTGAAAGGCGATAAAATAAATCAAAGCGATAGATAAAGCAAGAATAAAATAAAAGCGATAAGAACGATAAGAACGAAAAAGAAATAAACTTGAAGTTAAATTTAATCGAAGTGCGATAACAATTAAATGTAAAGGAATCAAAATAAACTTGAATTGAAATGACAAGAAATATAAATTGAACGAGAATTTAAATGACAAGGAAAATATAAACTTACACTAGAAATATGAAGAACTCACTACACTAGGTGCTTGAAAAATAAAATCCTAAGTCTAGGAAAAGAAAAGTGCGAGACGAAAGATAGGTTTGTTTGTCTGATGTTGTGTCTGATGTCTTCATGGAGCAAGGTTTATATAGGGCACTCGTCAGCCCATGGGCTGGCCATTGAATGGCCAAATGTCAACTCTTCTTAAAAATCATTCCTTTCGAAGCCCTCCTAAATTCGTGAGATTGTATTGAAGGAGATATTCTGACATGCTTGATTCTTCCTTGTTTTGGATCATTCGGAGTCATTCCTTGATTTCTTTCCTTGTGAGGCCCTCCGTCATGTGCACATAATCTTCCGAAAATCTTGGGCTTGAAATTGGTGGCTTGAGCTAAAACCTTTAATCTCTTGGCATAATTTGAGGGTGCCCTTCGTGATCTTTAGATTTCTGAAGCTCTAGAATTAGTCTGCTGAGGAACTTGATCCAATTCTTATTTTCATATATATATATATATATATATAAATATTATACGAATCAACAATCCAAACTACTGGCCCAGCCACTATGCATAGAAACATGCATGCTAGAATTCATGCTTGGCGACTTCAATACTCAAAGGGCCCATATGTGTAATATATATATTTATATATATATATAATTTAAACTCTCAAACCCTACAGACTGAAGGCAATAATTCTAACATTTAAACCAAACACAAGTCGGCCACCACTCCCTCAAACTTTCGGCTGCATGTGTGATATTCACTCACATATATATATATATTATATATTATAAGGCAAGGAAGTTACAATTTGCAGAGCCCAGTCACATTTGTGCGCCCAAAAATTCCCATAGCTCCAGTCGCACAGGAAATCCTAAGGCCCAACCTGCCATATCTTGGTTTTCCTTGCGGTCGCATCTTGGCTTCCCATGTTTCGGCCGCAATCCAGCCTCACTTTGACATAGAGCCCGGCCGATATTTCCAACAGCTCCAACATTCTCGGCCGCCACGAGGTTCCTTGGAGACCCGGCCGAGATTTCCCAATTTCTCCAGCACCTCCTACCGCACCATCTCAACAGCCCGGCCGCATATTTGCAAACTCTTCCGCCCGATTTCTAAAGAGCCCAGATACTCCAGCCCTAACTTTGGAGACCGACAAAGGCCCCAGCCACAAAGAGCTTCCAGTCCAAAAAACCGGGCAACAATTCACTCATCCACAATCCTCGGCCGCACCTCCTTTGAGGACCTCCGGCCGCGAATTTCTCCAATCCCGGTTGAGATTTTCAACTCCACTCGAACTGCCCAACTTGCTAGGAAAACAACTACAGCCGCCACCATCATTCGACACAGTCGGCCGCTCCAATCTAGCAAGCCCTCGAAGCCCCAATCTAACGAGCCCCGGACGCATTTTCGAAAGCCCAGGGACTCCGAAACCCAGCTGCCCCGTTTCACCCGTGCCCAGCTAATTCTCGCGCCCGGCCAATTCTCGTGCCCGGGTTAGGTGGGTTTCTATCACCCCCAAACAATACTGGAAGAGAGAAAGTGAAGAGCTACAATTCCTCAAATGGCATGGAAATATATGAAGTACAGTGGATAAGTAAGGCATCAGCTGCTCAACGTGCAGAAAGTGCTGGAAGAACCGGGCCTGGATACTGTTACCGTCTGTACTCTTCTGCAGCATATAGTAACATATTTCCTGACTTTTCTCTGGCTAAAATATCTAAAGTCCCTGTTGATGGTGTTGTACTTTACATGAAATCCATGAATATTGATAAGGTGGGTCCAAAAAGTCTCCTGGCCAAACTTTAAGCTATTAATATGCAATTAAACATTTTGAAAGTTTCTTTCAGTAGCTTGATTTGTGAGGTGGGGATATAGTTTAATTTCACAAGATTTTCATGTGCAGCCCACTGACTATACATAAAATTGACAATACTGATCTCATTGGGGTTAGGTTTGCGGTTCTGAACCTGTTGGTTTGTGTATCTTATTGCTTGTAGATGTATCATTCATCTTCTAATGTTCATGGTTTTGGATGGTTCTTACTAAGTTCTTGGGCAGCGTTGGCTTGTTTCACCTGAAAGTACGCTTTATTTTGTTACCATTATGTTATTTAGAGATCATGTTTCTTGTGTTTCATCTTTTACGTATGGAGGACCGCTGTTATAGTATATGACCTTTTTTTGTGTCCATCCCAGGTATCCAATTTTCCATTTCCAACTCCTCCAGAGGGTGCTGCCTTGGATGAAGCTGAGCGTTGCTTGAAGATCCTTCAAGCACTTGATAGCAATGGAAGACTGACACCTTTAGGGAAGGCCACGTTTGGAGGGTTTCCCATGATAAGAACCCTCTATTATTGTATGAGGAAGAGCTCCTAGGCTATCTGCGCTGGTTGGGCAGATAGGGTTGCCAAACGCATTAGAGGAAGTTCCGGGTCATCTGTAGGAGATAAAAAAGTTCATGTAGTTCAGTATCAAGCCTGCATGGTTAAAGAGATTGTGTTCCTCCACCGTTGGTCATTTGTTTCTAATTCAGCCCCTGAGTTTTTGGTATACATTGTTTTAAGCCAGAGGCAGCAGGTCAAAGACGGGTTTGGGAGTCTTTTTGGCTAAGCTGAATATAGAAAAGATAGACGGCTATGCTATGTTAATAAGAGAGGTCTGGAAGGAGATATATGGTTTCATTCGAGTTGTCCTCGATGAGCTATATGGTTGTCCATAAAAAGTAAATAAATAAATATAACGGATTAAAGGTAATTAAAAAAAATGAATTTTAAGGGGAAGACACAAACTTTCTTAAGAAATAAATAAATATTAATCAAATAACCTATTTGAAGTAAGGCACTTGGAGAAAATTGAAAGTAATTATTAAAATGATTAAGGAGGAGCTCCTCCTTAATTTTTAGGAGCCAAGTCATGGTCAAGTTTAAATTGAATATAGGAGCACTTTGTTGTGTTGAAACCATCACAAGATGTTACATTAAAATTCAGTGGAACTGTTAGGTTGCACGTGACCTCGGCAAACGATTGATGAATCTTGTCATGGAAAGCAATTACTAGGTCAATACGGTAGTAGTGAGTAACATTGGGAAGCACATGTTCCTCAAACAGCAGAGGGTTCCGACCTTGAATAAGGGCATTCTGAAAAATAGTTGTGTTCTTGGGGTCTTGGTGAATCGATTTCCACCTATCGATCAAAGTCACAAGACCAAATCTCTCATTTTGATAGTATGCAATGACTTGGGTGTCACTCCACACAAATTCCACTTTCTTGTTAGGGTTTGTGAGGGTGATGTTGAGAACGAGATTGTAGGAGAGAGTATGGTTGATTTCGGTATAATTATTGAATCGACTAAGATAAGCACCGTTGACGTTGAATTCGGGTTGTGTGTACCCTATATTCGAGATAAAGAACAAGGTGTAAGCACCAACAATGAAGAATAGGCACAACAACATGATACATATCTTGTTGCAAAGATGACTTGTATTCTTGACGTCTGAACTTTCAGTTCCAAACATGGCTAAAAAAATGCAATAAATAGCTGGAGAAATTAATGGATACAAAACTACAATGCTCAGGTTAATTTATAGCATTCCCGACTCCAAAACCTTCTTAAAAGAGGAGTTGATCAATCCAAATCAATTAACATTTATTTTTCTTTGGGGAGAAGGAGTGGCAAGTTTATTAGGATTTGGATTGCGGTATTACCGTGGGAGTAGAAGATTAATTCCTAAAATTGAGGAAATAAAATAATTATTTATGTATAATTATTAAATTTGTTTTGCCCCTGTCGTCTTATTATGGTGGAAACGGGAGCTCCTCCAAGGAAGGCGGAAGGCGGCTCCATCTGCTTTCTCTGCTTCTCCAACCCCCAATCTCCCACCGTCCACGTGTCCTACGCCCTCTGTCGGTTCTCTCAGGCCATCTCCTCCGACCCCGCCTTCCTCCGCTCTCTCCTCGCCTTCCACCCTCACTTCCTCGTCTCGCCTCTCGTTCATGTTCTCTCTTCCTTCGACGACCACCCCATCGCACGACATGTCGTCCATCTCATGTCCGCTCTCTGCGATTCATCCGGAGCCTCGTACTGCCGACTTCGTCGCTAGGGTTTCCGACCGCCTCTCTTTTGGCGCCTTTGCCTGGAGTCGCCGTCAGCTTTATAGGTATTTCCACCATTCTCTCTTTGTTTGTCTGTGAATTCTGGAGTTGCTGTTGAGATAAAAATTTCCGGTTGTGATTTGTTTTCTGTTTGCTTCCTGAGAAAATGATTTGTGTTTATCGGTAGTATGACTTGTTACGGCCTGACGAATTTGGTGAAATCGAGCTTCATTCGTCTACTGTTTCTCATATCAAAACTCTGCTGTTTGTTTGCAAATTTACATATCAATTTTGAGATTTAGATACATACTTTGAGTAATGTTTATTTTCTGTTTGCTTCCTGAGAGTAGGAAGGAAAATTATAAATTCTGTGAGTTTTCGGTAATCAAACAAAGGGTTATGCCTCTGAATTGGTTCGGTTAGGGGCTCAAAGTCATTCTTGTCCTGTTTCTTTCAAATTAGATTTTTCTACTCTACCAGTCAAAATGAAATTTGAGCGGGCAAGCTAGGGGTACCTCAAATTTTATTATACCTGAAACTCTCTGATCCTTGTATTTTGGTTACTTTTTGGCTAAATGTGTGCATCATGACTTTGTTCGTATGCAAGTGTAATGCCTATGGTTTGGAGTCTACAAGGATTCGACCAAAAAATAAAACAAGGAAGTCTCAACGATGATAAGCATCTGTGCACCCAGTGGCTTCTACTAATGAAACGTTTTTCAACAACAATATCTTTAAGACTTGCATCGTATTGATCTCAAAAAATATATATCCCTGCTAACAATTCTGCCATTCTTTAAGTGCAGCTTCACTGCTTAGGGGTTTTGTTAAACTGCCATCATCCTGTTTCTTCTATTTAATGTATCTGTTCTCCAATACGCATCAGAGGTTGGTGATGGAACTGATTTTTCATTTTCCTTTTGCCCCAAGCTATTGCGCTCGTCTCTAGAGGCCCTCATGAAGACCCAAAGCGATGATGTCGGCTTGAATTGTGTAGGTCAGTATTCCACTTCTTGAATACTTTCTTGTTGTGCCTTGTAAGCTGGGTCCATTTTCCGTTATTTAAAGCACAGCTCAGCAAAGATATGACTATCATTTTGGTCAGTTTGATATAGACATCAAGCCTGCAAACGATTTCCCTAACTACACCACAATTGTTTCTTATTGAAGGTGAAGGTCCTTGCAATTTCTCTCATCAATATAGTTGGAATGATTGTACAACAATGCCATTAATGAGTTGCACCATTTGTTCATATCTCATGACAAGATACTTTGCATCTTGATTTTATTTAGAATCAAATGATAAAAACGTTGCAGCTCCAAGTGCTTGAGTTCTTGACCATGGAACTTACTGCCTGTAGCGGAAACTTTTATACTTGTAAACCTTTGAGGTAATATATAACTCTTTGGGGAAGTGATCCTGACACAGAATGGAATTCTCCCTTTTTTACATGCACATTTCCTCATTGGTATCAGTCCCGTCTTCTGTCAACTAACAATTTCCATATTATTTGTCCAGCATTCTTGACAGTGTTGGCTTCGAGAGGGCTTTTCGGGGCTGCATATGCAATTGATTTAAACAGCATGAGTTCATCCGAAGGAGATAGCTTTGAGCAAGCAACAGAAGATGAAAAATATGTGAATCCAATGAATATATTGTTTACGGAGGCCTTCAAAGGCCCACTGCTTTCAACAGACAGCCAAGTCCAGATGAGCACACTGGATTTACTGTTTCATTACATGTCCTCCTGGGAAGGCACTTGAGGCAAAGAAACCCAAGTCCTACCACACACAGCGTGTTGGTATGATCACCTACAAACATCCCCCACACCAACAATAACCCTCGATGAACGGGCAATCATTTTCGGGAGTCTACTCTTTCTATTTGGACTTTTGGAATGCTCATGATCTCTCCCTACTCTAAATTATTAAAGAAAAAGAAAGAAAATCCCAATAGTGCCAAATAGAAATAAAGAGTAGGGAGAGGTCATGTTGAAATTAAAAAACAAAGGCTGATTTGCAGCTGTATTATCTCTACATCTTTTTTGAATGTTGATCTGGTCTTGAAAATACTAAAGTCGTGGACTTCATTGATCTCTTTAATTAGTAGAACAAAACCTAAACCAAGACCTACTTTGACCTGAGTTTGTTATACATCTTTTTTGAATATCTAGCCCTGTTATTGCTATTTTATTTCAGTTCAAAATGGAATTTCTTTGGCTGCATTTCTTCCTACTTTTTCTTCGACTGCCATCAATATAATGCTTTACAGCATGCATGGTCCAACACTAAGATTTCGATTTAAATTCGAATTTTAATGCCTTTACTATTTTGTGTTCCTTCTTCCCCTTCCTCGGTTCTTTCCTATTAGCTACAATTAGTTAAGGAGATTGCAAAGGTCGCCCGATTTGGTCGTTGGTTGCAAATTAGTAGGCAACCAGATTTTCCATTAGGCTAGGCCCACTTGACCCTTTTTTGCTGGTATGACCATATTTTTTTGGGTCCACTAGTATGACTTAAAATGGTCACCGACGCATAATCAACAATGTTATATTTTTAGCTTAACTATGTAAGATATATAGCCTATATCGAGTTTTTATTGACATTAGCCTACTAAGGCTTTAAATTATTTAATAAGTGAGGCCAATGGTTTCTGATCCATTAAGGAGATTCATAATTAGAAGGAAAAAAAACTTAATTAGAAGGAAAAAATTCTTAAGTAGTAATAATCTTTATGCCAATTTGTGGTGATTTGATATGATTTAGCAAGGATTTACGTGTAAAAGCTTGAATAGGGATTACGTATGTTGTGATCAAAAGTCTTGCACGTTAAGTGACCTACTATTCAAGTTAGGTTAGTGATTAGTATATAAAAAAGATGATAAGAAGAGAGACACACAACACAAACTATCTCAACATATATCAAACTGATCGCATCGGTCACAATAACTCAAAACAGCTTTCAACAATCATTCATGAGATTTTCAGCTAACGACTCCAGCTTCATTTTCGCCATTTGTTCTTTTAAGATTACTCTACCACACACGCGTGTTGGTATGATTTCTAGTTGATGATCAATCCGACTATTGATTGTTGTTGCTCTGCTACAAGCTAGTTTATCCGAATTATTGTCAACTTTGTTGAAGAATACATGAGTTCCACATCGGAAACTTAACAAAATAGAAAGTTCCATATAATAAATAGTTACACTCCTAATATCATCAAGACCTTTTGTATAAAACCCCAGACCTGCTAAACATGTGGTTAAGTTGGGGACAATATCGATGTTACTAGTGGTGGGCCAAGGATCCGTACCTCTGAAATCTTAACATGGTATTGGTTGATTGGGCCCAATTAAACCTAAATCAAACAAAAAACCCCAAATTGAATCAAAATCAAACAAACCCTTTTAAATTTTTAAATTTTTTTTTTTTTTTTTTTTTTTTTTTTAATTTGAAAGATGTGGAATGTGGTTGGACGTGTGGCCCACTAAAAAGTGGTCTCGCGTGAGGAGGAGTGTTGAAGAATACACGATTCCCACATCGAAAACTTAACAAAATAAAAAGTTCCATATAATAAATGATTCCCCTCCTAATATCATTTAGGTCTTTTGTATAAAACCCCACACCTGCTAAACATATGGTTAAATTGGGGACAATATCGATGATGCTAGTGGTGGGCCAAGGGTCCATCCCTCTGAAATCTTAACAAATTCTTGTACCTGAATCCTATTTGCTTTCTTTTGTCTTTTTCCAGTTTACCATGTTTTATTTTCATCTTCTTTGCCATTCCATACCATGTTTTATTATCTTACTTAAATAGGTCGACTTGCGAGTGTTGTAGAGGAAGATGTGATTACCGCAAAGTGAACTATTAACTTGCCTAGATAGGCACCAAATTGCAGTACCAAATTTATTAAGATACCACGAGGCTTCAAAACTTCTTGCCAAGTAATGCCCTATTTCGTTACCTCAAATTCTGAACCCCTACTCCTCCATTTTCTTTCGACTAAGCCACTTTCTCCCATTCACCAAATGATACCTTTGTCCTTCTCTAACACCTCCCCACAAAAATTAGATGCTGCAACCTCTTTGTCACTTCAACATAAATAAGAATAATGACAAATAATAAACTAGTAAATTACTCAAAAACTGACTGAATTAATGTCGGTCTTCCCCCTCTTGATAGGTTGCTCAAATTTCCTTCCTTTCCGGAACAAAAGAATATTGTATCATTGGCAAACTGTAAGTGAGAGATCTCAATTCTATCTGTACCTACAATCAGACCCTCTACCAAGCCCTTCTCTCTGGCTCGCTGAACCATCCTACTTAAAGGATCAACTACAAGAATGAATAGAAAATGAGAGAGTGGGTCTCCTTGCCTCAACCCCTAGAAGCCCCAAATTTTCCTCTCGGCTTCCCATTACAGAAAATTGGTAGATTCTACACACCCTTCAATCCATCTCCTCCATCCAATCCCAAAACCCTTATGTTCTAACACATAATCTCGAAAGCCCCAATCAACATGGTTATAGGCTTTTTCAAACTCAATCTTAAAAATGAGACCCTCCTTTTTTATCTTTTGAACCTCTTCCACCCATTTGCTATGAAAATTGCATCCAAAATCTGCGTCCCCTTCACAAATGCATCTTCAGCTTTGGAAATCATGTCTTCCATTACCTATCTCAACTTGTAAGCCAAAGCTTTTGCAATAATTTTATAGAGACTTGACACCAAGCTTATAGGTCTAAAATCCCCCACCTTAACTGCCTCAAACTTCTTTTGTATGAGACAAATGTAAGTTTCATTAGTAGCCGCATTTATTAACCATGTTCTATGAAATTCCTTAAATACCCTCATTAAATCAACCTTCAAAACAACGCAACAATACTAATACAACACCATTGAAAACCCGTCAGAGAGTGGAGATTTATCCTTTCCACAATCGTAAATGGCTCTCTAAACCTCCTCTTGTTCAAATGGTCTCTCAAGCCAAACAACCTTCTCTTCGCTAATCGGGCACCCATCTAACCATGGCAACCTCAATCTTACCCCCTCGCTAAAGCCCTTAAAAAAATTAGGGAAATAGCTCTAAATGCCACCCTTTTTATAATTTTTTCTGGAAATACCACCTCTCCCCAATTTTTTTTGCAACTATATCACCTATAAATATATATTTATTGTCCACTTATTGCACACATATCACTTTTCTCTGAAATTTAGTTCTCTCTCTCTCTCTCTCTCTCTCTCTCTCTCTCTCTCTCTAGCTAACTACCATCTTCTCACGAAGAAGAAGATCAAGAACAACCAACATAACCCACAGCTTTGCCCTCAAAACCCAGATCCTCTTCCTCTCTGTTTTCTTCTCTACCCAAGCACATCGAAATGAGTCCGTAGACACATAACAGGCCTAAATCGGAGTTGTAACAAAGAAGTTAGGATCAAAAGAAGTTCAGTGGGACAATCGTAATTTTTGCAAAGTCAGTTTTTAAAAACCAGAAACCTCTCTCTCTCCTTCCTCCTGCGCAACCTCTCTTTCTCTCTCCTCTGTTCAAAAAACAGACACGACCTCTGTGGCTTGCGATGACGATTCCGGCCACGTCCGATGGTCTCCGGCCGCGAAATTGGTCCCATTCTCTTCGTCTTTCACTTCCTCTACACATCTATACCAGTTTCCAGCCCCAAATCTAAGAAAAATCAAGCCAAAATTGAAGCCAAACTCTGTTAGACTTTGCAGACTGTTATCTTGTATGTAAGCTTCAAATCTACAAACAATGGAGCTGGAAATCTTAAGAAGATGAAAGGTTCAAGAGAAAGAGATTTTAGAGAGAGAGAGAGAGAGAGAGAGAGAGAGAGAGAGAGAGAGAGAGAGAGAGAGAGAGAGAGCTTGTAGAAGAAGCAAAATGAGATGCTTCCTTTCATTCACACGCACTCTGTGCATATGAAACCGTTGGGAATAGCATATTCCCTCATTACATCATTCAAATCTAGCCATCCATTCATCTACCCTATAAGATAGTGACATATGGCATAAACTATCACTTACTCTAAGATTACATCTTAGCTGCACACCTGGACTATAATCCAAGGGCTAACATTTAAACAAAATTCAACTCTTAGTTCTTATAACATTTCAGCATATACACTTATAGACTAACACTCCCTTCTAAGTGTTGCGTTGAAATTACTCCTAGAGCTTTCCTCAGGAATTCAAATTGATCCCTTGCTAAAGCTTTGATGAAGATGCCTGCAATCTGTTCTTTACTTTTGCAGTATAGAAGATCAATCTCGCCGTCTTGAAGTGCATCTCGGATGAAATGAAATCTTCGATTGATATGTCTGGTTTTGTGATGATGAACTGGATTCTTTGATATGGGAATGGCTGAAGTGTTATCACACAGCAGCTGAGTTGGTTCTGCTTGCTCTTCTCCAAAATCAGAGAGCACAAATCTCAGCCAAATGGCTTGTGCAGTGGCTTCTGCTGCACTGATGTATTCTGCCTTTGCAGTTGAGAGAGCAACACTGCTTTGCTTGATTGAGGCCTAAGAAAACACCCCTGAACCCAGATTAAAAGCATAACCTGATGTGTTTCTCATGTCATCTTCACTTCCACTCCAGTCACTATCACAATAACCAATCAACACTGCACCTTTACCTTCCTCATAGGCAATACCATAATTCACAGTGCCTTGTATGTATCTCAGAACTCTTTTAGTTGTCCCCATATGCTTCTTGGTAGGATTATGCATGAACCTAGCCAATAAGCTTGCTGCAAACATGATATATGGCCTAGTTGCAGTTAAATATAGCAAACTCCCCACCATTTGCCTATACAAAGTCTCATCTGCCAGATCACTTCCATCTATTCTTGAAAGCTTCTTATTCACAGCTAATGGTGTTGCAATAGATTTACAATCCTTGAGCCCAAATTTTTCAAGTAAAGTCTTTGCATACTTCTTTTGATGCAAGAAAATACAAGTATATGTTTGCAATACTCCAAGGCCAAGAAAATGGTGAAGCAACCCTAGATTAGTCATCACATATTGTCTCATCATCTCATTCTTAAACTCAGTCATCATTTCCTTCGAGCTTCTTATGTAGACAATGTCATCTACATATAGTGACACAATAAGAATGCCATTGTGAGATGTCTTGGTATACAGTGTAGCTTCACTTGGACTTCTATGAAAACCAGCCTTTGTAAAGTAAGAGTTTATTTCTTCATACCAAGCTCTTGGAGCTTGCTTCAGACCGTATAAAGCTTTCTTAAGCCTATACACTTTATCTTCTTTGCTTGTATCACAAAACCAGATGGTTGATCTACATGCACCCTCTTCATTCAACACTTCATTTAGAAATGCTGACTTTACATCCAACTGAAATAACTTCCAACCTTTTTATGTAGCAAGGGCCACCAAGGTCCTTACAGTATCAAGTCTTGCCACTGGAGCAAAGGTCTCATTAAAATCTATTCCAGGTTTCTGAGAATAGCCCTATGCAACCAACCGTGCTTTGTTTTTCTACACAGATCCATCCATATTCAATTTAGTCTTATAGGCCCATTTGACTCCAATGATTGGTTTATCAAATGGTCTATCAACCAGCTCCCAAGTGTTGTTCTTTTCAATCATGGTAATTTCATCTTCCATAGCCTACCTCCAAGATTCATCCTTGGCAGCTTCTACAAAATTTTCTGGTTCTATAATGCACAGATTGCACTTCTCATACACTTCTGCAATACTTTTGTACTTGAGAGGAGTGTGATCAATATCCTGTGGACCTGTCATCCTTTCTTGATCACAGATTTCAGTGCTTGAGCTGGGCACTTCACTTACTTCACATTGTGCTTCAGAATCACAAGAACTTCCTTCATGCCCTTGTTCTCCTTCTAATACTTCAGTAATCTGAATACTCACACTTCTTTCCTTCTGTGCATTCCAATCCCAACATGCATCTTCATTGAATACAACATCTCTGGAAACAATCACTTTCCTAGTTTCAATGTTATATAGTCTATATCCCTTTTCACAACTACCATACCCCAATAAAATGCAACTCTTGCTTGCCAAATCCAATTTCTGTCTCTGTTAATTTGGCACATGAGAGTAACACAATGAACCGAACACCTTTAGATGCTTAATTCCTGGTTTCCTCCCACTGTATGCTTCAAAAGGTGTTTTCTTAATCACGACTTTGATTGGACATCTATTCAGAATATACATAGAGGTATTGACTGCCTTAGCCCAAAATTCAAGTGGAATTTCTTCTTTAACATAAGACACTTAGGCATTTCCACAATAGTTCTGTTCTTTCTCTCTGCCACACCATTTTGCTGAGGTGTGTATGGAGTGGTGAGTTGTCTTTCCATGCCTACATCTTCATAGAATCTGTCAAACTTCACTGAAGTGTACTCTCCTCCTCGCTCACTTATAAGCTTCTTCAGCTTATAACCACTCTGCAACCCCACAATAGCTTTGAATCTTTTAAACACACTAAGAACTTCAGACTTGTGTCTTAAAAAATAGACCCAACACATCCCTGTGTAGTCATCTATGAAAGTGAGAAAATATCGATTCCCAGCCTTTGTAGTTGTCTGCATTGGACCATAAATGTCACTGTGTATAAGCTCTAGAGGAGTTGAAGCTCTAGTAGTAGCTTCCCTTGGAAATGCCTCCCTGCATTGTTTACCTAGAACACAACCTTCACACACTCCTTTAACTGCTTTGATTTCTGGTAATTCTACCACCATTTCTTGCTCCTGCATCAACTTCAAACTGCTCATGTTCAAGTGTCCCAATCTTCTGTGCCACATAGTAGTAGAGTGGTATACATTCGCCTTGTAGGCAATGTGTATTCCAGACTGCAACTTCATTGGAAAACTTCGATTTCCTCTCATTTGTACTCTTGCAACCATGTTGGAATATGAGCTGTCATAATAGATTTCCACCTTATGATCTCCAAACACCAAGTAGTAGCCATGCTCCATCGTTTGACCCACACTGAACAAATTTTCTTTCAGTCCAAGCACAAGCATAACCTCCTTGATGTATTGCTTGCCTATTTTGGTTTCAACCACAAGATTCCTTTTACCAGTCACTTCAACAAGTTGTCCAGTACCCATTTCAACCTTTGCAGTCACATTCTTGTCAATATCATCATGTAGATCCTCCCTACCTGCCATATGATTACTACATCCATTATCTACATACCATACATCATCATATCCTTTTACACTAGTATTAGTTTTATTACTAGCATAAAACATAGTTGGTGTATATTCTACCTAACTGGCATAATTGAGTTGTTGCACTGTTTTCTTACTATTGCAGTCCCTTGGAAGGTGACCAAACTTGTCACAATTGTAGCACTTTGGCTAGCCCTTAAATTGACACTCACCAAAATGCAATTTTTCATAGTGCTTGCAAGGATTTCTAGCACCATCAGTGGAGCTGCTATCCCACTTTTTACCTTTTGCCTTCCAATTCTTCTGGTGCTTAGCATTTTGATTTCCAGTGAACTTAACTGGTTTGGGATTCTCACTAAGACTAGCAAATGCACTCTTAGTTTTGTTTTCAGAATGCCTATCTAGCCTTAGCTCAAAACTTTTCAAAGAGGCTACCACTTCTTGTACCTTAATCACATCCAAATCCTTCGAATGCTCAATAACAGAACAAATGAAGTCATAAGCTGATGGCAAACTAATTAACAACTTTTGAACAACCCTTTCTTGAGATAATTCCTCTCCATAGCTCCGCATTTGATTTATTAAATCAAATAGTTTTGTAAGATAAACAGAAAGTGATTCATCATCTCTCATTCTTGTGTATTCAAACTCCCTATAAAGACCTTGTAATTTAACACTTCTAACCTGTTTATCACCATGTTATTCTTGCTGTAGAATGTTCCATGCGCCTTTTGAGGTTTCTTCATGAGAAATTCTAGGAAATATCGCATATGAAACTGCTCCTCGAATCAGTCCCAGAGCCTCAGCATCCTTCATGAGTACCTCTATGAGAGTCATCTTCCCAGCACCACTTGATTCTTCTTTTTCTTTCTTCTTTGCATCAGATTCATCAGCCTTCATCAAATCTGTGCTGTCAAATCCTTTTTCAACCAAATCCCACAACCCATGAGACTTGAAGATGATTTTCATCCTTATACTCCAAAATTCATAGTTATCGCCGTTAAAGATCGGCCCTCTCAACTCGCCACTACATGACCCAGCCATGTTAGACTCATATCACAAAAACTTGAGCTCAATTTCGAGTTTCTCGGTAGCTCTTTCACATATCCAAACACCCAGTATCAATTGATCCAACCTGGCTTTGATACCATGTTAGAATTTGCAGACTATTATCTTGTATGTGAGCTTCAAATCTACAAACAACGGAGCTGGTAATCTTAAGAAGATGAAAGGTTCAAGAGAAAGAGATTTCAAAGAGAGAGAGCTTGTAGAAGAAGCAAAATGAGATGTTTCCTTTCCTTCACACGCACTCTGTGTGTGGGAGCGATTTTAAATGGGATGTATCTTATTCCTGACTTAATTACGGATTTGATTTAAATCAAATCCCTAATTTAAATCAAATCCCTAAATACAACAACCTCGCCAAATTAAGGAAGGACAATTCCTTTCAATCTATGGAATTATCCTTCTGAAACCCTATCCTCTGAGGCCACCTATAAGTACTTGGCTACGCACAAGGATTGAGGTACGTCTAAATTCCTACTAAAACTCTGCAGAAATTGTCCTTCACAAACCCTAGCTGCCATATTCTTTCTCTCTCTCACACAAGGCTCCGACCACCACACACAACTCCGGCCACCCGGTTTTCCTTCAGACACCCAACCTAACTTAGGCATTGGAGGGCCTTTGGCCAACACCTCCTGGGTGTGGTCCTTTTACTCCGATTTGTTTTCCAGGGAGAAAGAAAAGCGAAGAAGACGAAAGAATCTTAGGCGAATATTCTTGTGGGACGAAAATTGCTCCCACAGTGTGCATATGAAACCGTTGAGAATAGCATATTCCCTCATTACATCATTCAAATCTAGTCATCCATTCATCTACCCTATAAGATAGTGACATATGGCATAAACTATCACTTACTCTAAGATTACATCTTAGTTGCACACCTGGACTATCATCCAAGGGCTGCCATTTAAACAAAATTCAACTCTTAGTTCTTATAACATTTCAGCATATACACTTATAAACTAACAAACTCCGCCCAAAATCAGGCCGAATTACCGCGCCACGAAGTTCGGCAGATAAACCTCAGCCCCAGCCTTGGACAGGCCGCAGTGAAGGTCGCGCGCGACCAGGAAGGAGCCCCAAATCTCCCTAAGATCGTTCTCTGTTTCGCCGTCAGGGATCACGGAGAGGTCGTGCGCCAGAAACAAAGGATACGGTCGAGCAAGGCACAACCTGAACTGCGTCCCGGTCCTCTCGACTAAGCCGTAGAAAAATTTGTAGCAGAGAGTCGAGGTGTTGTGCTTCCTGGGGGCCCGGGCGAATGCGTTGGCCAACCGCCCCCCTCAGCTCTGGGAAGTAAGCTTGAACCCAGAACTGGAAGGCCCATAGTGGACCACGGTGCTTCGGCTTCATCCCATCCGTGACGACGTCGTGAAGCGTACGGTAGATATGACCAAGGAGGAATGGGCCGAGTGCCAGCCTTTCGCCCTACGTGAGATAGTTGGCCAGATGGGCGAACTCCAGGGTGACTTTGTTCGCTTGGGTGCAAAACACAAACTTGCATAGCCAGTACAGCAAGAAAGCGGCATGCTCGACCTCGCCCAAGGGAGCGATGGAGTCATCATCAGCGCTGTCCTCCATGCCGAAGTTGCTGTAAAAGCTGGAGTAGTTGAGCATGTTCTTTGCCTTACTCCCAGCAAGCTTGGCGAACGTAGACCAGGCGGCCTTAAAGCTCCCTTCAGCCTCAGGGGCGACCGGAGCGGCGTTTACTTCCACGCCAAGGGGGGAAAGGCCGAATAGGTCGCCATGTCTAGAACGGTCAGCGTCATCATGCCAAACCGGAGGTTCATAGTATTTGTGGCCGACGACCAGAAGCATAGGGCCGCGGCCAAGAGCGACCGGTCCATGACGAGTGGCCGATCGAACAACTTGATCAAGTGGTAGATGCCTTGATCCTTCCATTGCTGGCCGAAGAAGTGCTCCATCGTTGGCGGCCATTTTTCCCAGTCCGAGGTCGAGGTTGGCCATTGGGGCTACGGCCTGGCAACATTCCAATCTTGGAAGTCCCCCCCGTCAAAGGCCGAGAGGTCCACCAGAATCCGGGGATGTGAGGGCAATGTTTGTGCCTAATAAATCACGGTCATGAACTGATCGAAGGGACCTCCTCTCGGCCCTAGCACCTACTTATGAACTGAAACGGCCACGTTTCGTTAGGCATTTTGCCCTCCTAAAAACAAAAGAAAAGCTGCAAAGGCAGAAACCTCTCGGCCGCGCTACTGCGGTATTATAGGCCGAAGTCGAAGACCGTAAAGGCCACGGCCGAAGATACTGTGGTTAAATCGCCACGTGGCCTCAGGGTCCCACACCCCATTTAATGAAGTAATGCCTCTGACTATCGCAGCAAGCCCACTAGTCGCAAGAAGCATTTAATGCACGAGGGGAGAGGGGAAGTGACTGAAGTCAAGATTTGGTAATGGAAATCAGAGTGGTTAGGCGCCAATATTCTCACAAGTAATCTTACAACTTGAGGTCTGTTTGTGCTTAATAAATCACGGTCATGAACTAATTGAAGGGACTTCCCTTCGGCCCTGGCGCCTATCGTTTCGTCAAGCATTTCGCCTTCCTAAAAATAAAAGAAGAGCTGCAAAGGCAGAATCCTCTCGGCCTCGCGACCACAGTATTGAAGGCCGAGGCCGAAGGCCGTAAAAGACACGGCTTAAAAAGGGTGTGGTTGAATCACCACGTGGCCTCAGGGCCCCACGCTTCATTCAATGAAGTAATGCCTCTGACTTCGCAGCAAACCCACTAGTCATAAGAAGCATTAAATGCACAAAGCAAGTGACTAAAGTCAGGATTTGGTGATGGAAATCAGGGTGGTTAGGCGCAGACATTCTCACATGTAATCTTACGACTTAGGGTCGAATCACCAACCACCAAACCAGAGCATTAAATGCGTTCCCAAGGCCAAGGGGCCAGAACCCACGATCAGGACGGTGGCCGAGATTTACCGAGATTTATGGGGGTCACACCACCATGCTTCTCAACCCCAAACCGCCATGCTTCACGATCCCAAATGCCGATTTGACTACCCACTTGCCCCGGTCAGACTCCACCGCGCAGGTCTTGTCAGCCTCGAATGTCCCTCCAGGACTCCTATAAATACTAAGCTCAGGACTACATTCAAAGGGTTCAAACAACAAACCAAAAGCCTCCCACGGAGCAAATTATATTTTCCTATAATGCACTTTCAATACCTTTATTTGTTGTCTTAGGAGTAGTGGTAGATTGTAAGGAAAATCCATTGATCAATATATCATACGACCCTTGATTTTCAAGGCGCCGGAGCACCATCCCTGTTATTGCCTCATTCACCCCATATATCATACGCTCGCGCACAACTGCACCGCATCCAAAAGAAGGACGTCACATGTTGACGCACATCCCCTCGGCCCGGAGCACCAGGCCGTGAGATTCACGACAGACAAACACTTTTGGCACGCCCAGTGAGACTTGTCAAAAAACTTATGGTGGAAACTAGGGCACAGGCAAAACTCAAAAACAAAACAGTCGAAATGACTTCCGAGGCTCCTGAGTCCACCTCACCAATCACTGTCACCGAGACCGAACACGCGGTCAAAATCTCGGCCAGCAGTCCAATGACGACGGGTCGCATGGCCGAGTCCTTGGGAGAGCAAGCAGTCGTGGAAGATCTGATGGCAAAGCAGGCCTACAAGATAGAAACATCCTTTATGGCCGCGGTGGACAGATTCTCCTCAGAACTACGGACGCCCCCCAAACCCGGACAGAGAGGCCAAGAGCGCGAGAGGTTCGAGCCCTACGGCGAAAGCAGCAGCCTCGGCGTCTCTAGCCGCACACAAGCTTTGGCCGCTGACAAATAGCTGGGGGCAATCCCAGCTAACATGGGTAAATCCCGGACCGACCTACTCGACAGAGACGACGCACGGCCCACTCCATGCTTTGGCCGTATCACTGGAGCAAAGCAGCCCCGCACAGTCCACGGTCCAGCAAATTGGCCCAGTCCACACTGCGGCCGTCCAGACCCATCCCGGCCCAAGCAACTCGACCGCTGCTTCGTCACAGGAATACAGTCAGAGCAATCAGACCGTTTCACCATTACATACGTCGTCATTGCCGTCAGGCTCCCATCTTCAGTATGGTTCGGCCGTTCCAACTACAACCCATACTAACCCAGTCAAACCTACGGTGCATATCTGGTATCACCCATCTCGGTCGCAACGGCCGAACCCCCCATTCAAGTGGCCCAGCAGGTAAGGCCGCAGAACCAGGGGCAACAAGTTCCACGGCCAGTTGCGGCCCAGCAAGAAGCGCCCCCTCAGGGGCTCCGATTCGAAGACGTCCGACGAATGATCGAGGACGGCATGGCTCAGAGGCGCCCGGAAACGCCAAGGTATACCAAACCATACCAGCTAGAAATTGACCGAACCCCTTTTCCCCGGAACTATCGGTTGCCATAATTCATTCTATTCTCTTGGGATGGGCAGACCTCCTCCATCGAACACATAGGCCGTTTCACAGCCCAGTGCGGAGAGGCCGATTCGGACGCCCAGAAGCTCCGTTTATTCGTTCACTCTCTGACCGACGCGGCGTTCTCGTGGTTCATAAACCTTCCGCCGAATTCGGTGAGGGATTGGTCTGACATGGAGAGGATATTCCACGAGTATTTCTATCAAATCAACCGGGAAATAACGGTCGCTGAGTTGGCAAGGATGAGCCAGGCGTCAGAAGAATCACCTCGCGACTACCTGCAGCGGTTCAAAACGTGCAGGAACTGGTGCCGCACGAACCTACCGGAGCGGGAATTTGTCAAGATGGCCGAAGAAGGGTTGGAATTTGAATACCGGAAGAAATTCCAGGGGATTGAATTCCGGGACATGCACGACTTGATCAACAAGGTGGACCGATACGCATCCTTGTTGAAAGAAGATGTGTAGAAGAGGACGGCTTCAAAAGGGACTTACTATCGGAATCCCGTAGTCAGCTATGCCGAAGCAGACAACCCCACAGAGGCCGAGAGCGACGAAGTTGAGATGAGCTCAGCCGAGGTCAGCATAGACAAGCCATTCGTCTGCAAAGGACTTGTCAAGGTCAACAATAGCCGCACAAAGATTCCCGACGCCAAGTTCGCAACTCGAGAAACGAAGGCCTACACTTTTGATTTGACAAGGGCCGGAGCTATCTTTGACCTACTGTTAACCGAGAAAAAGGTCAAATTGTCCTTCGGCCATAAAATTTCGAAACCCGAAGAGCTCAAAGGAAAGACGTTCTGCAAATACCACAGTTCTTGGTCTCACAACACCAACAACTGCGTCGTTCTGCGAGACATCATCCAGAAGTTGATAGACGAAAAGAAGCTTCAATTCCCGGAAAAGGCGGCCATGCAAGTCGACTCTAAGCCATTCCCTCCGCCTGTCATCAACATGGTCAACGCTCAGCTCCGGGCCGAATATAGGGAAGTTCGTCGGCCTGCAGAAGGAAAGGAGCCGTTGGCCGAACCAGAGCCGATACCGTGTTGTCGGTGCAAGCATGAGGTCCGTCAGCTCAGACCGCCCGAAAACGAAAGGAAGGCCATCGAGCCATCTCGACCAACTATGAGGAAATTCGACGGCCAATACGATCGGTGGCCAGCGAGAAGAGTTGTTTTCGACCGACTAGGGGCACAAGGCCCTAGTACCTCGGCAGGCCACAAAGACGGAGCCGCTTCTAGGCCGGTGAAGACTTTCAAACTACCGGTCGTACGGGATGAACGTTGGTATCATGCTCGACCTGGGGGCAACACCGAACCGCTGACAAAGACCCAGCTAAGAAGGATGCAAAGGCAAGTTCAGTAAGCCAGGACACAGACGGCCTAGGTCGAGGGGTTGAAATGCCAAAAGAAGATGGCAACTGCAGACGAACCACCATCCGTGCCAATCATTCCCCTGTAGCGAAGGTCGCCAGCGTCAAGCCTCCAAGGGCATGGTGCCCTAGGCAGGATGGTTATCCCCGCGGAATGACAGCTGTTTCGGTCGAGCTAAAGGCCGCGGCCCCGGAGGGAACGGATGAAGGCATCATCGATGTCTACCACGGAAGGGACCCCTCTTTTTCGGCCAATGGTTTGTCCTTTCTCATGGAATTCCACAAGGACCACTCGGCCATCGACCTATACGGCATGACACCTGAAAATAGTGAAATCGTGGACTTGGCTCTCAGAAACGCCATGGCAGAAAAACTCTTCATTACCAGCAAATCCGACTCGGCCATTAAGGCCGTATACCAGGCGAACCGAGAAAATAGGCAAATCCGACCCGAGCAGGGAAAATTAGAGGCCAAGGCCCCCTTCGGCAGAAGCGATTTGGAATACCTCCGCCAATATTTTACTGTGACCCCGGGCGACACCATCTTTGGTCTGACGACCGAGAAAAGGGCTCGGGTAAGCCGGTTGGACGATTACTTAGTGGCTAGGGATGTGTTAGCTAAGGCTAGGCAAGCCCTCGAGGAGGAAGTCGAGACCTCGGACCCCCCCTAAGACCAAAGCAACCACAGGCGATACCCCTGGGACTGCGAGGCCTATGGCCGAGGGCCACGACGGTCTTCTCTTTGGTCACCAGGCCGAGGATGACTCCACGTTGGGACTCTCCCATCAGGACTGCGATGGGATCCTCGAGATGATCGAGGAAAAGACCCTCGCCAGTGACGGCCACGAGGTCAACAAAGAGTCTGGTAGGGGAAACCAGCGGAAGCTAAAGGAGGTCAGCATGAACATGGTTTTGGTGCTACCGTCCGAGTTTTTGGCCCCAAGAGGCCAGACCAACGGCCTGGATAATGACATGGCCGAGGAACAGCTTGATTAAAGGCCAAAGACAAAGGAAGAATTGTTGGTTGTGGCTTTTAATGAGGTAATACCCAAAGACGAGCCAAACAAATACCGACTCCTCAAGCCGTTATACATCTCAGCTCATGTGGAGGGTGTGCCCGTGTCCAAGGTCTTCATTGACTATGGGGCAACGGTCAACATCCTGCCCTATTCCCTGATGAGGAAGCTGGATAAGTCAAAGGAGGACCTCATCCCCAGCGATGTGGTCATGAGCAACTTTGTCGGCGATAAATCTAAGACGAGAGTCGCGGCCTTCGATATTGCCTTTAAAAATCACCGTGGCCGACCAGACGAGAGTCGCGGCCTTCTACGTGGTCGAATCCAGCATGGACTACAATATATTGTTCGGTCGTGACTGGATCCATCAGTCTGGATGCATACCGTCCTCCCTCTTCCAACTGTTGTTCTTCTGGGACAGCCAGAGGGTGTCCATACACCCGGCTGACAAAAAACCCTTTGAACCCAACGCCGTGCAAGCACGAATTTACGACGACGACGTTGGATGAGTTGTCCTCACCGGCCACGATGCAAGCGGCCGGCCAACCAGGACAACGGCTCAGAAAGTGCTGGAGTTAGGCGCTGAGAATGTTCGACAAGATTCAGTGCGCGAAGTATTGATCGACCTCACTGACTTGTAGATGACAGACAAAGCCACTAGAGAGGAGGGAGCGGCGGCCGTGACCGACCTGCTGGAAAGACTGCTGGAACATTGGGCAGAGGAATCCTTACAGCCAAACTCGCCGATCAACCTAATCGAATTCCTTCACGAGTCAGATGAGGCGGACACTTTGGCCTTTAACGAATTGGGAACGGCGCCCGCCGAGATGGAGGATGACTACCCCGAGGTCCAGGACCCGTTACTAGAAATAAAGGTAGGGACCGACCCCAAACCACGGCCACTTTTTGTAAGTCAGCTTTTGAGCCCTGAATTAGCAGTCGAGATTATCGGCCTGCTTCATAAATATAAGGATTGTTTTGCTTGGGATTATCATGAGATGCCTGGATTGCCAAAAAGTTTGGTCGAGCACGAGCTAAAAATTAAGGAAGGGTTTAGGCCTTTCCAACAATCGCCGAGGCGATTCTCGACCGAAGTACAGCTTAAGGTCAAAGAGGAAATTGAACGGCTCCTTAAAGCCGGCTTCATACGCACGGCCCGGTACGTTGAGTGGTTGGCTAACATTGTACCGATGTTGAAAAAGACTGGGGCTTTGAGGATCTGCACCGACTACAGGAATCTAAACCTCACGACCCCCAAGGACGAGTATCCCATACCTATGTCCGACCTCCTGGTGGACGGAGCAGCAAAGCACGAGCTTTTGTCTTTCATGGACAGCCACGCTGGCTACAACCAGATCTTCATAGCTGAGGAAGATGTCCACAAGATGGCGTTCAGATGTCCGGGCGCAATCGGGACTTATGAATGGGTAGTCACGCCATTCGGCCCGAAGAACGCCGGCGCAACGTACCAATGAGCCATGAACCTTATTTTTCACGACCTAATTGGTCGAACCGTCGAAGTCTACATCGACGACGTTGTTGTAAAGTCCCCATCCAAAGCCGACCATGTGGGACACCTCCGACAGGCTTTCAATCGCATGCGGGCACACGACCTAAAGATGAACCCTAAGAAATGTGCCTTCGGCGTCACCGCTGGGAACTTTCGCGGTTTCTTGGTCCACCAACGGGGGATCGAGATAGATAAGAATAAAGCTACGGCCATTATGACGGCACCCCTGCCGAGGACCAAAAAGGAACTCCAATCTTCCCTCGGTAAGGTCAACTTTTTAAGGCAGTTCATATCTAATTTGGCGGGAAAAATCCGGCCATTGACTCCTCTGCTCAAACTGAAAGACACAGAATGATTCGCGTGGGGGGCAGAACATCAAGCGGCCCTTGACGACATCAAGCAATATTTATCTCAACCACCGGTCCTTATGCCGTCGAAAAGAGGGAAACCCTTGAGGCTTTACATTTCGGCTTCGGAAGGCTCTATTGGTTGTCTGCTGGCCCAGAACAACGAGTCTGAGCGAGAGCAAGCAGTGCATTATCTAAGCCTCACCCTTAACATGGCCGAGCTAAACTATTCACCGATCGAGAAATTATGGTTGGCACTTTATTTCGCGGCCACCAAGTTGCACCATTATATGCTTCCTTCGGTCGTTCAGATCATCTCCAAGGCCGACCTCATCAAATACATGCTTACTTGGCCATTGATACACGGTCGGATCGGGAAGTGGACGATGGCATTGTCCGAATTCACCTTCCAATATGTGGCTCAGAAGTCAGTCAAAGGCCAGGCATTGGCCGATTTCTTGGCCCACCACCCGGCTCAGGGGCAAGAGGGGGAGTTAGAGGTTGAGATCGGCATGGCCCATATGGAGAAAAACTACTGGACCATGTACTTCGATGGCTTCAGTACCGAGGCCAGGTCTGGGGCCGAGGTCGTGATTGAATCCCCCCAAGGCCAAAGGTGGCAATTTGCGTTCCAGCTTGATTTCAAATGCACTAATAATCAAGCAGAATATGAAGCACTCATCATCGATCTTGAAATTCTAAAAGAAATGAAGGCGACCCGTGTCCTGGTCTACGGTGATTCTCAACTGGTAATTAACCAACTGATCGGGGAATATCAGTGCATGAGCGAGAATTTAACCTTGTATTATGTAACGGCCCTCAATACGGCCGACGAATTTTCTAGGATCTCCTTCGTTTACGTACCGCGCGCCGAAAACCATGAGGCCAATGAGATGGCCCAGGTAGCGCCAGGTGTGAACCTTCCAGACAGTGACCACGACCGTGTAATAAGGGTCGAGAGGCGCACCTTGCCGGCTTTGGCCAAGCGAGGAATGACGGCGCAAGTATCATCAGCCGAGGTTACCGACAAGGTCAAAGCGGCCGAAGCTGACTAGCGCTACCCCATAGTTAAGTATCTGCGCAATCCCTCTGGCAACCATGAAAGGACTACTCGATTCCGAGCTCGGTGTTATTTGATTTATCAGAACGAGCTATACCGAAAAGGATTAGACGATTTATTGCTCCTATGCCTCAGCGCCGAAGATATCGAGGTTATCATGGCCGAATCCCACAAAGGGATTTGCGGCGCTCACCAGTCCGGCATTAAGATGAGATGGTTGATCTGGAGGCACGGCTATTATTGGCCGACAATTTTAAAGAACTGCATAGAATATGCGAAGGGGTGCATCAAGTGTCAAATCTACGGCCCCATACAAAGGGTACCGGCTGACGCCCTCCACCCGGTTACTAAACCATGGCCGTTCAGGGGATGGGTCGTGGATATTATTGGCAAAATCTACCCGGCCGCGTCCAACCAGCACGCCTGGATTTTGGTGGCAACTGACTATTTCACTAAATGGGTCGAGGCGGAGTCCTATCGGTCCATTTCTAGCACACAGGTGGTCAGATTCTTTGAAAATCACATCGTCCACTGAAACCATCACGGCCGATAACAGCCAAGTATTCGCATCAGCCGAGACTCGAGAATACGCCGAAAGGATGGGGATCAAATTGGTCCACTCGACACCCTACTACCCACAGTCTAACGGACAGGCCGAGGTGAGCAACAAGGTAATCAAGGGTATCCTCGAGAAAATGATTGAGGCAAAACCTAGGGCGCGGCACGACTTACTCCCTGAGGCCCTCTGGGCTTACCGAGTCTCGAAACGATCGGCTATTGGCACATACCCTTATGCCTTCACCTACGGTCATGATGCCATCGTTCCGATGGAGCTAAAGGTTCGGTCTCTCCGGGTGACCGAACAACCTGGACGTCACTCTGGACATGGATGAAACCGGGTCGCGATCAAGGTCGTCGCTCCGACCATGGCCAGGGCCGTCATTCTGGGCACAACTGTGGCTGGGTGAAGCTATGGCCGTCACTCCAGCCATGGGTGCAACCAAGGTGCTAGGCCAAACGGACATGGCCAAGTTGGAATCGTCATACCAAGCCCTTCCATCTTCATCGATCGCATTGCGGTTTCTTCGCGGCCTCATATGAAGGGAGGTCATTCTCCCCCAAGGCCAGGAAGGAATCTCGGCCACACCACGGCCTTGGCCCGCGTCGACGTTCCGGGACGAAGGATTGTTGATGGACAGCAGGAGGGAGAAAACCATCTGGATCAGGCCACGACGCCGAGATATGGCTCAACCATGGTTCTGGAGAAACTACAAGGGGAAGGCCACTGGAGCAGAAAGGAGTGGAGAAAAATGAAGAAGGCCAGGCTTTTATATTGGCGCTAGAGTTTGAAACGAAAGGGCATGGCTCTCTCGAGAGACGTAGCAGTCTGACTGTACGATCGCATGTGCGATGACGTGGCGGAAGCTCAGAAGTCGTCGTTTCATTTAACAAGACAAAACGGCGGTTTGCGCAATAATGGCCTGCTAGGCGTGCTTGCGCATTTAATACGCCGATTGACCTACGCATTTAAAGCACCAACTATCAATCACTCCCAGGGGAAGGCAAAGGGTCCATCCCTTGGAATCCTTTCGACCTCTACCCAAGCCGTGACCGAAGAATCCAGGGATGTGGGGGCAATGTTTGTGCTTAATAAATCACTGTCATGAACTAATTGAAGGGACTTCCCTTCGGCCCTGGCGCCTACCGTTTCGTCAAGCATTTCGCCTTCCTAAAAACAAAAGAAGAGCTGCAAAGGCAGAATCCTCTCGGCCTCGCGACCACAGTATTGAAGGCCGAGGCCGAAGGCCGTAAAAGACATGGCTTAAAAAGGTTGTGGTTGAATCACCACGTGGCCTCAGGGCCCCACGCTTCATTCAATGAAGTAATGCCTCTGACTTCGCAGCAAACCCACTAGTCACAAGAAGCATTAAATGCACAAAGGAAGGGACTAAAGTCAGGATTTCGTGATGGAAATCAGGGTGGTTAGGTGCAAACATTCTCACAAGTAATCATACGACTTAGGGTCGGATCACCAACCACCAGACTAGGGCATTAAATGCGTTCCCATGGCTAAGGGGGCAGAACCCACGATCAGGGCGGTGGCCGAGATTTACCGATATTTATGGGGGTCACACCACCATGCTTCTCAACCCCAAACCGCTATACTTCACGATCCCAAATGCCGATTTGACTACCCACTTGCCCCAGTTAGACTCCACCGCACAGGTCTTGTCAGCCTCGAATGTCCCTCCAGGACTCCTATAAATACTAAGCTCAGGACTACATTCAAAGGGTTCAAACACCAAACCAAAAGCCTCCCACGAAGCAAATTATATTTTCCTGTAATGCACTTTTAATACCTTCATTTGTTGTCTTAGGAGTAGCGGTAGATTGTAAGGAAAATCCATTCATCAATATATCATACGACCCCTGATTTTCAAGGCGCCGGAGCACCATCCCTGTTATCGCCTCACTCACCCCATATATCATACGATCGTCACTCTCTGAGCAACGCACCGGAGCACCGCCTAAAACCAGCCACCAACACCACCACTAAACGGCCTTGTAGCTCATGCCGTGAACCTGACGGCCGAGATCAGTTCCTCTCTCAGCCACAATCGTTTGATTAGGAGTCGAACGCAAAACAAGCGCAACATTTAAGCCATCTTCTACCCGAACCTCAGCATCATCTCGATGCACGGTAGACCGTGCTGGCACGCTCGCACACAACCGCACCGCATCCAAAAGAAGGACGTCACGTGTTGACGCACATCCCTTCAACCCGGAGCACCATGCCGTGAGATTCGCGACAGACAAACAAGGTCTGATCACCAACCACCAGACCAGGGCATTAAGTACGCTCCCACGGCCAAGGGGGCAGAACCCATGATCAGGGCAGTGGCCTAGATTTACCAGGATCTATGTGGGTCACACCACCATGCGTCACGATCCCAAATGCCGATTTGACTACCCACTTGCCCCGATCAGACTCCACCATGCAAATCTTTTCGGCCTCGATTGTCCCTCCAAGACTCCCCCTATAAATACTAAGCTCAAGACTACATTCAAAGGGTTCAAACACCAAACCAAAAGCCTCCACCGGAGCAAATTATATTTTCCTGTCATGCACTTTCAATACCTTTATTTGCTTTCCTAGGAGTAGTGGTAGATTGTAAGGAAAATCCATTCATCAATATATCATACGATCCTTGGTTTTCAAGGCGTCGGAGCACCATTTCTGTTATCATCTCATTCACCCCATATATCATACGACCGTCGCTCTTTGAGCAACGCGCCGGAGCACCGCGTAAAACCCGCCACCAACACCACCACTAAACGGCCTTGTAGCTCAGGCCGTGAACCTGACAGCCGAGATCAGTTCCTCTCTCAGCCACAATCGTTTGATCAGGAGTCAAACTCCAAACAGGCGCATCATTTAACCATCTTCTTCCCAAACCTCTTCACCATCTTGACGCATGGTAGACCGTGCTGGCACGCCCGCGCACAACCGCACCGTATCCAAAAGAAGGACGTCACGTGTTAACGCACATCCCCTCGGCCCAGAGTACTAGGCCGTGAGATTTGCGCAGCCAACAGTCCCCTGAGTCTTGCGAGGAATGCGGCTCGGGTGACTTTTTTGTTTCCTAGACCTGCGAGGATGTGTCGCATTATGTGACACTAGGAATTGACGGTATAATGTGGGAAATGAATATATAGATCACGGAATTGACGGATATATGATGGGTACACCTAGGTGGAAAAGAGTTTATTTCTTTTCAATACTTTAAAAAGATTTTGATGATTCGATTGAATGCCTGCTTAGTTATATGTATATAGATACGCAAGCTTGAATTTTTGTACGAATATGGTACATCATAATAATTGGATTTCTAAATGTTTTAACAATGCGGTTAGTATGTTAATATTCTATTTTCCAAAACATTATTTTTTGTCCACTCACACTTTTAAATGTTTTGCGCCTCCCGGCAATAGTCGTGTACCAAAACGCCACCACACGACAGTCACCACTCTTCACTCATCCTTTCCACTATGTAGGATTTCTTTGTAATCGAACTATTTATGTAATTAAATTGATTAGTATTGCTCTGAAATTGCCCTATGATTTCTATAAGGCCTGGGGCCAAAAAGTTCTGATGTTGGATTGCTTGAATATAAATCTGATGCATGTTGAACGATTGGAGTTATATATTGCATTTTGTATAGGTGGAAAATTTTGGGAAACGACCATTTACAGGGGAGACTATGTCGACTTTTCGGCATAAGTCAAAGTTGAGGGTAACCTTGGTTTGGTTATAAGGGAAATTCAGTCAAGTGTGCCCGGCACCCGCCAAGTGTCGGACAAGCACAGGATTGGGCTCAGATTCCAAAGTGGCATTTGGTTCGGGTCCTGTCATCCCACGTCTCATCAGATATTTTCACATCCCCCAAAAATGACCTTGCACCTGAAGAAAAAAGTAAAGAAAGTAAAGAAATGCAGGCGCCAGTAAGTGTTGATAGTAGTGAAAGTAAAAAAAATGTCGTCGGCAATAACTGTTGTTATGGGGTTGACCGGAATTTTATTTTCTATTGTTATGTTCCCACTTCCTACATACTTTTATAACTTTTGACTCCGGATATATTGTATTTATTTTCAGGACTTCTGGCTTTGACTGCGAATATGGATTATATGTTGTTTACGTGGGTCGAAATTAATTAGTTGTGGATCACTTATTGGTTTATGCTATAGGGATTTCTAGATCCCTCGTGGAACTAGAGGAAATGTTGTTTTGGTTTTGGAACACTTGGATTTTTGTGATCCAATAAACCATGTAGTTTTAATGTCGAAGTTTACATTAGAACAAATGCAATACTGACCAAGGAATGATGAACCTCATTCATAAGGTAATAAACATTATTAATCATTGTGAAAAGATATTTTGACGTTAAAAGAGTGCAAAAAATATTGGAGTATGTTGCTTGATAAAATGGCAACAAAGAAACAAATATGGAGGATGTTGTAATAACCCAATCCTGAATTAATCGTAAGATAATACACATTATTAATCATTGTGAAAAGATATTTCGCCTACCCATCCCGACCCTTCCCAGTCCCCACCACACATGTGCTCGCCGTAGTGATTAATCATTGTGATTACAACGGGGTGGACTACTAACTTGCCTAGATGGGCACCAAACTACAATACCAAATTTATTAAAATACCACAAGGCTTCTGTCATCGCACATCGGGTCCTGTCATCCCACGTCTCATCAGATATTTTTACATCCCCCAGAAATGAACTCGCACTTGAAGAAAATAGTAAAGTAAGTAAAGTAAAAAACTGTCGTCAACGATAACTGTTGTTATGGGGTTGATCGGAATTTTATTTTCTGTTGTTATATTCCCAATTCCAACATACTTTTATATATTTTGACTCCGGTAGTATTGTATTTATTTTCAGGACTTATGGCTTTGACTGCAAATATGGATTATATGTTGTTTACGTGGGTCGGAATTAAATTGTTGTGGATCACTTATTGGTTTATGCTATGGCGATTTCTAGATCCCTCGTGGTACTAGAGGAAATGTTGTTTTGGTTTTGGAACACTTGGGTTTTTGTGATCCAATAAACCAGGTAATTTTAATGTCGAAGTTTACATTAGGACATATGCAACACTGACCAAGGAATGATCAAGCTCATTCACAAGGTAATACAAATTATTAATCATTGTGAAAAGATATTTTGACGTTAAAAAAGTGCAAAAAATATTGGGGTATGTTGGTTGATAAAATGGCAACAGAGAAACAAATATGGGGGATGTTGTAATAACCCAATCCTGAATTAATCATAAGATAATACACATTATTAATCATTGCGAAAAGATATTTCGCCTACCCATCCCGACCCTTCCCAGTCCCCACCACACATGTGCTCGCCGTAATGATTAATCATTGTGATTACAACGGGATGGACTATTAACTTGCCTGGATGGGCACCAAACTACAATACCAAATTTATTAAAATACCACAAGGCTTTTGTCATCCCACGTCTCATCAGATATTTTTACATCCCCCAGAAATGAACTCGCACTTGAAGAAAATAGTAAAGGAAGTAAAGAAATGCAGGCGCCAGTAAGTGTTCATAGTAGTGAAAGTAAAAAAATGTCGTCAACGATAACTGTTGTTATGGGGTTGATCGGAACTTTATTTTCTGTTGTTATATTCCCAATTCCAACATACTTTTATATATTTTGACTCCGGTAGTATTGTATTTATTTTCAGGACTTATGGCTTTGACTGCAAATATGGATTATATGTTGTTTACGTGGGTCGGAATTAAATTGTTGTGGATCACTTATTGGTTTATGCTATGGCGATTTCTAGATCCCTCGTGGTACTAGAGGAAATGTTGTTTTGGTTTTGGAACACTTGGGTTTTTGTGATCCAATAAACCAGGTAATTTTAATGTCGAAGTTTACATTAGGACATATGCAACACTGACCAAGGAATGATCAAGCTCATTCACAAGGTAATACACATTATTAATCATTGTGAAAAGATATTTTGACGTTAAAAAAGTGCAAAAAATATTGGGGTATGTTGGTTGATAAAATGGCAACAGAGAAACAAATATGGGGGATGTTGTAATAACCCAATCCTGAATTAATCATAAGATAATACACATTATTAATCATTGCGAAAAGATATTTCGCCTACCCATCCCGACCCTTCCCAGTCCCCACCACACATGTGCTCGCCGTAATGATTAATCATTGTGATTACAACGGGATTGACTATTAACTTGCCTGGATGGGCACCAAACTACAATACCAAATTTATTAAAATACCACAAGGCTTTTGTCATCCCACGTCTCATCAGATATTTTTACATCCCCCAGAAATAAACTCGCACTTGAAGAAAATAGTAAAGGAAATAAAGAAATGCAGGCGCCAGTAAGTGTTCATAGTAGTGAAAGTAAAAAAATGTCGTCAACGATAACTGTTATGGGGTTGATCGGAATTTTATTTTCTGTTGTTATATTCCCAATTCCAACATACTTTTATATATTTTGACTCCGGTAGTATTGTATTTATTTTCAGGACTTATGGCTTTGACTGCAAATATGGATTATATGTTGTTTACGTGGGTCGGAATTAAATTGTTGTGGATCACTTATTGGTTTATGCTTTGGCAATTTCTAGATCCCTCGTGGTACTAGAGGAAATGTTGTTTTGGTTTTGGAACACTTGGGTTTTTGTGATCCAATAAACCATGTAATTTTAATGTCGAAGTTTACATTAGGACATATGCAACACTGACCAAGGAATGATCAAGCTCATTCACAAGGTAATACACATTATTAATCATTGTGAAAAGATATTTTGACGTTAAAAAAGTGCAAAAAATATTGGGGTATGTTGGTTGATAAAATGGCAACAGAGAAACAAATATGGGGGATGTTGTAATAACCCAATCCTGAATTAATCATAAGATAATACACATTATTAATCATTGCGAAAAGATATTTTGCCTACCCATCCCGACCCTTCCCAGTCCCCACCACACATGTGCTCGCCGTAATGATTAATCATTGTGGTTACAACGGGATGGACTATTAACTTGCCTGGATGGGCACCAAACTACAATACCAAATTTATTAAAATACCACAAGGCTTTTGTCATCCCACGTCTCATCAGATATTTTTACATCCCCCAGAAATGAACTCGCACTTGAAGAAAATAGTAAAGGAAGTAAAGAAATGCAGGCGCCAGTAAGTGTTTATAGTAGTGAAAGTAAAAAAATGTCGTCAACGATAACTGTTGTTATGGGGTTGATCGGAACTTTATTTTCTGTTGTTATATTCCCAATTCCAACATACTTTTATATATTTTGACTCCGGTAGTATTGTATTTATTTTCAGGACTTATGGCTTTGACTGCAAATATGGATTATATGTTGTTTACGTGGGTCGGAATTAAATTGTTGTGGATCACTTATTGGTTTATGCTTTGGCGATTTCTAGATCCCTCGTGGTACTAGAGGAAATGTTGTTTTGGTTTTGGAACACTTGGGTTTTTGTGATCCAATAAACCATGTAATTTTAATGTCGAAGTTTACATTAGGACATATGCAACACTGACCAAGGAATGATCAAGCTCATTCACAAGGTAATACACATTATTAATCATTGTGAAAAGATATTTTGACGTTAAAAAAGTGCAAAAAATATTGGG